TGACGATACCTTCTTGTTAACAAATACAGTTAATGTTGATAACCAACGACAACCTAAAGTGTCAAGATATCTAGTTTATATATCTCACTAATTAGTGACAACCCCTAGCGATAGCGATAGCCCTCAGTCGTAGTTGCTGTATACTAAACTAAGAGTTATCTCTCAGCTATGAAGGGAGGGGGTTGGAGTTAGATGCATCCCCTCCTCTTCGAAATGACATTCATCTGCTCGACGTCTAACCACACGCTTCATTCTACTCGAGGTATTGTGTTCACTAGGTTAATTAATATGTTGTAAAAATAGTTCTACCATAGATAACAAATACCTCAAAGGTTCTACCAAGGATTTATTTTTCTCCGTGACATGGTGACATGCTAAATGTCGAAAGCTTAAAAATATTTCACGTCACAAGTTGTCCGGGTTTTCTGTAAATTTCCGCTCATTAGAGTCTTTGGAACAAGGTCGAGTCGAATTCAGTAGTTTCTAAGTTTAGAGGAGTTGGAAATACAATATCTAAATCCATAGGCCCAAATTTCAAATAAAGAATATTTTTCATAAATAATAGTTTAGAAGTTGAATATTCGAACACACAATGAGAAAGGAATGCTATTATGAGAGTTGGAGTATTTGCAGAGTAGAATATTAAAAACAAGTTGAAATTTTCCCGGTTCGTCAACCTTGAGATAGCTTCCTGAAAGTTCTGGTCTACTATATTCTAGTTTGTAAACTAGTTAAAGTAGAACGACTTTTATTTCCATCGAAAAAAACATGCCTCTGCCTTATTTAACCGACTTACCCACGTTTATTTAAATCCTATAAACTACTTACTGCAAAAGCAGTCTTTAATGACGTTCTAAAGATAGTTATGATTTTGTAGCTAGCTGGACGACGTTTATTTTAATCCTATTAACTCCTATCCGCTCTACTGAAAGTGCAACCTTTAAAGACATTTTGTCTATTTGGTAAAATAGTTGGATGACGTTTTCAAATGCCTATAAGCCATGCATAACCATCGATATATAACTACTGTATAGTTAGTATAACTGTAGTTATATATCGATGTGAATAAATGCAGCCTACGTTAAGACATTTTAAGATATTTTCAGTTTTAAATTAGTCAGACGACAGTGATATTAACACCCTAGAAACCATTCTTTCTTGTTAGCCTTCGTAGCCTGGACTAACAGTCTTGCAGCTCTAAATTAGTGCCATTTAAGCTGCAAAGTTGAAAGTGAAGACTTCTGACTCGTCACAAACTACTCCCGTCTCAGTTTCGCGGTTTCATTTCATGCTGCAATTACATAACAAAAAGTTGGTTTTGCAGGGATAATTTGCGAAATTGAGCCGGCCCCACGACTAGGAATTACATTCAAGGCAAGCTACTGTGCCGGATGCGGCGGTTAATATGGTTACACCCGGCCGTAACCGCTAAAATGGTTAACACCACAAGTGGTTATCATCAGATCACGATGTTGTTGTACAATCCTTATATAACGATTCCTAATCACAGGTTTGCCGATTCTCGTTTTATAAGTTTTCTTCGCCTTTAAAAAATACTAGAACTGATGTATTGAAATCGTGTCACGTTGAGCTTTTGCGCAAACTTTACTCTATGATAACCTTTATTGATAACTGTACTGTGGACCGTCTGTTGTCTCAATCGTGTCGAATTATTTACAAAAAATGAATTGCCTTCTTTAATTGTTTGGTATTCAATATAGACCATTTGTTGAGATCTAATAACATCTACTAGCTTCCTAGTTTACATTTCCCGTTTCTATCGCTGTGCCACAATCAAATGAAACCAAGGACTATGGGAATTTTCTCACGTAGGCCCTACTATAAATGTCCATCCAAAATACACCCAAATCTCATTATTGATGATTGTTCATCTACTTAATTGCTTTTTACACTTACTTGTTAATCCCTGTATCCGTTATCAGTACCACGGATCTCCACGAGAGATCGCTGTACGCTTATCGTAATCTTTGTTATCCCTCTATCGGTGTTATACCACAAACCTATTAGTAGGACGTAAATAGCTACAACTTTCCCTAGCTCACACCCCTAGCTAAATATAGTCGTCCTTCGCTATACGGGGATTTCCATCTCTATTTTGGGAAATTCTACCTTCCAGAGGGATATTAGTTAAGGGGACAATTAATAGGATGATCAGTGTGTTTAAAAAACGAAACAAAGGTTATACTCATTCTTTGTATCCTTATTTGTGGTATATTATCTATAATATAATAATGATGAGTCTCGATTTATAACGAAATTTTAGCTTCCAACTGGTATGAAAGGGATTTTTACCTCTAAGTGGGATATTTTGTTGTGTACAGTGAGACACTCTTTGAATGACTAAGGGCCAGTTCAGTATAGATAGAGCCTTTGTGTTGATCAGTCAGTGTGTTGTTCTTTGTTTTAAACTGGTAAGTCAAACTATACGGTACTTCACTCACATTAGAACTGCCAGGCTAAAAAAACTACCTGACTTTTTGCCATACCGATTGTTTATTAACGATTTCTAACTGTAAACGTCACTAATTGTAATTTATAACTTCTTAGCAATCATTGCAATTAATTGATTATGTTTTACAGCTTACCAATCTCTTTCTGTCCACTCGAAAAACAATTAATTTAAAAAAAATCGTTATGGACGTATAAAACAATCTTTTAGCTCGTTAAGAACTTGCAAAAGCGTACACAAATTACCCTCTTCGTTGCTTCAAGGGTATTAATGTGTCATTTTACTTTATTTAAACTGTATATCTTGGTTTAGCAATTTAAAACATCTACAAACCAATAATAATAATGAAAATAAAGCGAACAAAACAACCTTGATAGCTGGTAGATGACGAAACGGTTTCGTTTAAACATATTTACCTCGATTCCTTCAAGGCTTGCTAGAAAAGAAACTAGTACTATTTTCGTCACAACACTTGTTACTTGAGCTAAGTTACATTTAAACTGGCGTACTAAAACAGAAGTACAGAGCGTTGCGAGCTAATTGTCATTCTTATCAATACATGCTCAATGCCTGCTCAGAGATCCCCGCGCACGATTCAAAAGGCTGTGTCAAGCAAGAGCTACGGGCAATAAAGAGTCAATAAATCCTCTTCGTCCTGGGAGGGCCAGAACTGGTTCACAAAGATAAACACAACCTCTTTAGAACCGACCACCTGCGGGACCGAACCAGTTTAAAAAATGGCAACACGATGCAATTCTATTTATACGGATGACTTAATAACAGATCACCGACCCGCCTTATCTTGAACCAATAATTGAACTTGCCAATCTTGCTACTGCAGCGTTCTCTTCGGTTTTGTAGTTTGGAAGCGCAATAATCCACAACTAAATCAATAGATTAATTCGAGTTGTTTATAATGATGTAAAGAAATGTCAAAAGTGTGAGCAAAATTAAAGTTCAGTGTTTGTCAGAAGACACCCCGGTGTTCAGTTCAGGCGATGGCGATGTACTCTGTTAGTATTCTACGTCGGATGTTTTCGTTTCTGGATGTCTTCCAGCAATCTTGTCAGTCCTCAGTCTTGTCCTCATAAATCACTTGTTAAACACCTGTGTCCCTGTCACCACGAACGGTGCGATTAGCACTTCGATCGTGTGTACTGTTTGTGGAAATTATTTGTTGAAGAACTTTGTGAAACTTGATTCAAGTCAGGTAGATTTGAATTTGAAAATCTCATAAATTCTCTCTTGAGGAACCGAAGCATTTTCAAGTTTCGAGAATTTCCCTCATGAATTGCATAATTCCTACTTCGTAAGTTAACAATTAACATGCGGCTTTGTCAAAACCGGGAATCCTGTAATATGATCCATCTGGCGTAGCTTTTGAGGTGGTGTTTTGTACAGAGGCTTTGTCGGGGCAGGTAGCAGGTTGATGACGTAAGCCAGGAGTTCCAAGGCCATCCAACAAAGGGCTATAAATAGAGCAGGACGACTGTCTGCAAGGATAACGACGCTGGCTTCTGGCTCAGATTAATTGGACATGTTAAAACAATCAGAGTGCGTGTGGCCGCCAATTGAGTCCAATCAAATTGCAGCTGGACAATTGTTTGTGAGTTCATAAGTCCAATCAGTGTTACTGCACAAACAATTCGCAGTCTAAAAATCTCCGTAATTCGCCACTGATGTTCTCAACATATACATTTAATTAATCGGTTTTATGCCTTAGCCTTAGCGCTTATAATTGTGTACCTATGTAAAATGTGTAAAATTTGCATTCCAACTCGGTAAATTCCTCCATTATTTGTACTTAGAGCTCATTTGCTTGCGATTTAGTACAAAACAGTCTCTTCATTCTTTACATAATCTAAGATGAATTATCAACAAATTTAAATCCTTTGAAGATGCTCAAACACATTATTCAAAGTAATTTTTCAACTATTACTTAGTTAAGAGCTTGAAGCCTCCAAGTAAGCAGGTAATGGAATGAATATCGACAATATTTTACAGTGGACAGTCGTGAAGAATGTCTACAGTTTTCTAGTCTAGAGTTTGGGAGTAGTGAAGCTCCGATTGCGTTTACCGTACCCGAGGTGTCGATGGCTTGTTTTGGCGCCTTCATTGGTTTGTGTGGGGATGGAATGAACATCAAGAATACTACAAGCTACTTAGTTTTACTCCTCATATTATAGTTAGGAATTAGGAATTATTCTCATTTTAAGCCCACATGAAAGTAACCTCGTACAGCCAGTGGTGCATGAAAAAAACCGGCAACACCTTAGTGTTTGCACAAGTTTACATTTGCAATACAACTACTGTTTCAGACTTAACCTAACGTCAAAATTATTCACATTTCACTCAAAACAATGACTTTTCCGCCCAAGTAAGGAAAAATACATTTCCGCTCTAGTGAGGAAAAATACATTTCCGCTCTAGTGAGGAAAAATACTTTTCAGCTCTTGTGAGGAAAATGACTATTCATCTTCACCATTCCTCATACTTATCCTCGACTGATGTATCTTCTGTTGTGTTTCAGATGCAGCAACAAGTTCGTGTCTTGGCCGGTGTAATGATCGCTTGTTCCCTAGTCACCTGTCTTCTCGCTGTTCCGGCGACGTTGTCTCGCCAGAAGAGGTCGTTCTACGATCTACAGTGTAAAGGTGTCTACGACAAAAGCATCTTCGCCAGGCTCGACCTAATCTGCGACGATTGCTACAACCTCTTTAGAGAGCCTCAGCTTCATCAGCTGTGTAGGTTAGTATCAGTAAAGTTTTGTATCTTCAAGAAACTAAAGGCAAGATTACTGTACAGCTATGTGTTCATATTTGAGGGTCATGCTATGTACATGCCTTTAACAAGTGGATATTCCTAGTACTATCACAATTATCAAAAACTTAGTTAACTTGGTATCTGGATTATTAAATTGTATTGACCATCTTAACCAGTAAACTCACTATCATCAGTATCACCACTTCCAATCAGTTTATGGTTAACCAGTTGATAGTTAATATAAGAAAGACTTTTTATAAGAGATTGCTTCCAAAAGTAGAAACATTTCATGAAACTGATTCAAAGTATTTATCAAAGGGTTAAAAGAGTTCATTTGCTAAACCAAGTTTGATAACCGTGGTACTTAAGTTAACTAAAATGTATTCTATAATCATTGGATCAAGTAGTCAGTTTAATGAAGTGCTGTGGGTCATACTCCCATTGGGGGGCAAACTAATAATTATTTAAAGCAGTAGAACTATGATGTAAAGCTTTTCAAATAATGATACAACGGACATTTCCACATTAAAAGTGTATTCTATTGTTTCTATATTATTTCTGTCCGTTAAATCCTATACTCTTATATGAACAATGTTTGCTTGTATGTATGCCTTTATGCTTGCTTGCACAAAGATCTCGAAAACTGCTTCGACGATTTCCTTTAAATATTGGAAATAATTTCTGTTTTAAATAATTTTTGGCCTAAAAACGTGTTTAATGCAGTTAAAACTTAACGTTTATTAACTGCCAAGAAAAATCTAATTAGGTAAAAAAAATGAAATTAAAGTCAAAACCTTTCAACATTGGCCTTTTGGGTTGCTAAGTAACCATGTTGGTTGAACAAAATAACAAGGAAAACGTAAGCAAATTACGTAAGTTGTAACATGTGTTCATAATAAGCCATTCACCGACAGTATACTAGCAAATTACAAAATACAGTACAAAAGGAAAAACATCAGTTGTTACTATTGAGCAAAGATTGCACTGGATATAACTTGATATAGGTGATAATAGTTCCAAGTTCCGATCAAATACTGATTATTTAACTTGGCTCTCTCCTACCAAAACGCAATTCCTAAAGTAATCAGCTGTTTTAATTTAAACAAAATGTTAAAACAATGTTTATGCAAGAATATGCTATTATAAACGAGCGGCCGTCGACTGTAAAATAAATTAATGTCTTGAGGATTGCCAGGTTAACATTTCCATCATTAATAAATTGAAATCCCCTGAAGATTAAATAATAATAAAAGCCAAAATTAGTTGTAAATAAAACGCAAGTTTCTTTTATATTGATTTTACAATAAAAATAAACTACCCCGATGGCTCGGTCCCCAGGTACTTTATATTTAAGTAGCAACAATAGTAAAGCAAGCAGAGGGTGCAAAAACAATTGAAATATTTTGTCAAGAATTAATAAAATTATAAGGTTTATGTTTGTTTTCAGAAAAAACTGTTTCACATCGGACTATTTCAAGGGATGTCTGGATGTGCTTCTACTTCAAGATGAAATGGAGAACATACAAACATGGATAAAACAGTTACACGGGGCAGAACCTGAAGTTTAGGTGCTTTTTATTTTGTTTTCTTTATTTTAGTTTTGATTTAATTATTTTAATCCCTTACTTGATTTTTGTACTTTTAGTTAACACACACATATTCTTATCTACAAGTTAAAAGAGTTTTTTTAATCAAACTACTAACACAGTTTTAACACATAGTAGCAAACGATACTCAGTAGTTAACATCCATATTAACCATTACCTATCTTTAAGAGTAGTCATTGTAGATAGGCCCTACACTAGCTGCTATTTTAGTAGAGATATATTTATAGGCCTACCATATATAGTTGTCCTAGTAGCAAATGTTTCTCTCTGCATAAACATTTACATAATTACAGTTTTGCATTCCTTTTCTAAACAGTTAAAACACATAATTGCATTCTTAAGTCACTTAAATTGTTATTCCAACACTTCTTGACATTTATTTTTACCATAGAAGGTTAGTTACAACATTTTAGTTTACTTTAATCATTCTGTCCATGACCATTTAGTTCGGTTAAAAGGTTTTTTATTTCTTTTTATAAACTGTTTTCTTGTTTTATTTTGCAAAGGTAGTTTTTGGGAAAGTGTTTTTGCACGAGACAATTTTTACTGCAATATTTTTATGCAGGTTTTGTCTCTGGGTGATTTTTGTGTTTTGAATTTTGAAAAATGATTTTTGCGTTCGTTTTTTTACTTTTTGTGTCTGTTTTTGCAGAAAAGACTGCTTCACAAGTGATTACTTTAAGGGTTGCATCGAAGCGCTTTTGCTGAAGGACGAATCTGGGGAGATCTTGGAGATGGTGGAAACCCTGGGCCGTTAGGAGCTGCATTCTAGTCTTGTCCCCAAAACCTCACGGTCCAATCCTCGACTTACTCCTTCTTTTAACTTATTTATTTATTAGCCTAAGTTCTTGGATGTAAAATACGTAATTAATTTGTATCAAAGTTTCAACAATGTTTCAAATTCAAAACTGGATATAATTGGTTTGCGCCCCCATGTGCCGTAAATGCACAAAAACTACTTCCCATTGTATAATAAATAGTTTTACTACGGTATACGAATGTATTCTGTAAGCCTTCTGATCATTCCATTCAGTAAATACTATCAGTATTTTTGGAGTCTCTCCCAGTGAATCTTAGATTTAGAGCAAAGTACAAGTTCGTTTATACTCTAGTACAAAGCCTTATAACTGAGGAATGTCCGATTGCCTTAGTCCGATCAAATTAACAATTGTGCCTTTTAAAAACCCTCCTGAATTCTCGATTGGCTAAGTACGATCATCACCTACTGTATCACAGGATAACTAACAGTTGTTAAACAATATTGTTAGCGCTTTATTGTTATGAATTAGTTTTAAATTTCTGTTTAGGTTCGAGTTACCAATTGTTTAAGTTCATTTTTGGCACATCTTAGCACTCTTTTGGAATTTTTCATTGTTTAGAAATCACTAAATTTAATGTCGGATTGTATAAAGGGTTACATGGTGTTAGTTAAGTCCAGTTATGTGCCAAATGTTAGGTAGGTCGGATGCTCCAATTGTATTTTTCTATGATTATACGAACATGTCCTCCGGACGTGAACACAGTATTAGTAGTCAGGCTTCTCAGCCGAGCACATTATTTTGTATAAAATCGATCGTGTGAATGGGAGTGTGTAGTTATTTAATTTATTTATGATTATGTTAAGTTTTTTTATACAGAATGCTAATTTTATTTATAAACATAATGATTGTTTTAAACAAAGACATGTAAGAGTGTTATGTGATCGACAGAATGTGTGAATATTTAATGTTTAAGTTTGTGTTTGTATCAGTTTCATGTCTGCACATATGCACATATTTTGTACATTTTATTTCAGCAGTTGAGTATTAATCATTTGTACTTATTGTTTGTTACATAGTACAATAGTGTAATATTTATTGTTCATAAAAGAACTGTATCATACATTTGCAGTGTTTTCATTTCCTGCCAATAAATCTCCTGGACAAATACACAGTGACGAATATTTACTAGGCTTTACCACATCCACCGTGTAAACTATATTTCAGATAGTGGAGTCACGGTTTGAAAAATTATGGTTTAGATCTGAGATTTTCAATACTTCTTGCAATATTGAATGTTGGCATTTAGCTTGGTTCCGGATAGGTATTGGAATTAAAAATAATCACATTGGTGATTGAATTACAATTGATGGAAGTTAATTCCTGACACTATACAAAGTGTCCAGGTCCTGTGCAACCTCAAGAAGTTATTTTTTTGCCACTTCAATGCTTATTTGTCTTCATAAAATGAAGCCTTCAACCAGCTCAAATAAAATCTCCGATGTTCCAAATAGCCTACTCGTTGCTCCAAATACTTTGCATTCTCTTATGAGATATTTAGTTCATACTCAGTTTCATTTAAGGCTCAATTCAATTACTGTACTAGTACTGTACTGCATAAGCTACTAGCTGGCTAAGACTCTGAATAGGCCTACAAATTAAGTTTACAGGCCCGGTTTTCTTACACAAAGTTTGTAAAGTAGTCCGTTCTCGCCCCACTAGCTTGCTAGCTGCTATTAAAAAGCTCTAAAAGTTGATTCTGTCGACGAATTTAAACTCTAGATTTTGAGCAAACTTCTTATGGAGACTTTATTTGGTTGCTTACCATTTGCCATCTGCAACAATTCTGATTGGAGACATGGGGATGAACTCAGTTGGTAAGTTTATTCACCAGACCCGATCTACTTCCACTCCACACATGATGTTCACCAACTTTTTACTGGAACATATTAACAAACAGAATACGTAGATAAATTCTGTAATCTTCTGTATTTATACTTAATACAATAAGGGGTTTCTTTGTAACATCTCTTTTCCAGACAGTCTACTTAACTGATTTTTAAAATTGAGCTGTCATTTCAAAGCTTATCCAGCAAAGGAATAAAAATGGTAACAAACTAACATGTAATTTCTTTAGGGGTTTGTGGTTTGCCATGCTCTTAAAATTAGTTGAATTTTCAACCACAGTCAGATTGTAAACAAGATCCAAAACCGTTCATGAAAATATATTTTAATAATAAGAAACGTTTTTTTATAATGGTAACCGGGTTGAGGTAGGTAAATCACTTTTCATATTGTAGATATAAAATTGACAAATTTAATTCATTGTAAATGAGCAGTGAACCCATGCAGCTCAATGCCGCAAAATAACATGTATTTAGAAAACAAATTCATCTATTATATATCATATATTGACTCTTATGTCTACAACAAAAAGGAAAGAAGTCCAGCCATTTTCTAGCTGTATGTGTCTTATATATATATAGTAAATTAATAAGTTTTCAAGTGCGTTATAGCTATTTTTAAATATTTTGAAACACATTTAAAACATTTTACTTTATAAATCCAATGTAGCTTATTTAAAGGACATAAAAATGCTGCTTGAGGAAAACCCTTTAAACACTAAAAACAAATATTCTAATCACAAAAGCACTTCCTTGAATATTACATTTTTAGTCAAAGTCACCTTCAGGAAGATTACCCTGGTCAGATATTTCCGTAATGAATATGTGTGTATCCCATTACTGGTTTGGGTAAGAACCCACCCCCCCCCCTTGTGCTTTATTGATAGCCATTGCAAATGCCAAAGCTAACGGAAATATCAGTATATTTATATTTTAAAACATTCTTTTTCCAAAATAGGTCCGATGGAGAAAAAGAGGATAAAAACGAATATGAGGATGGTAGTCCTTTTTAAACTAAGATAGCAAGGGATTGACTCAATAGTATGCTAACTTACTGATGTAATGTTTAATTTAATGGTTATGATTGGTTTCCAGTGTTATATAGACACTCTAATATGAATCACATCATATTTCCCCATTAAAATAGTCTAGCTAGATCATCAAGTGTGATGAAGCTGGTTAGGCAGCCCACAAGTATATATTTTCTATAATGGGTATCTGTGCTATTTTTAGACGCCCAGTACCTACTCACCTTAGCTATTTTATAGTGAACTAGCTGTGTGCCCGTTCTACGCACGGGGATCTTATCGTAGCCAGTTGAAACCTTCTTATATTAAGAACAGCAGTTGATTTGAATATTTTCAGATATGCTGGCAAAACAATTATAGATAAACCTTCGCAAATACAGTATCTGACAGTTTCAAGCACAAGGCAAAACAAATGCTTCGCAATTAAATGTCACCCGGATCATGTTGGTCCATATGTTAAATCCAATGATTAAACTAAAAAAATGCTTTATAGATCTATGAGGCATAGCCCTAAAGTAGGCCTGAAAGTTACTTTCCACAATGGTTAAAAGTATATAAGGTACTACATTAACCTCACAATTTAACACTTTATTCGGGTTGACATTTTTCATTATCAAGATGCGCTTGTCCTTTCCGTGAAATACTGAGAAATAAAGGACATTAATGCGTTACCAACAGACATACACACACAAATCCAGAACTTAATTATGGAATTTGCTACGCTTTAAGCATAACAAAGTACATACCTATAAAATTAGTATTTGAAATCTTTGTTAATGTCATCAAATTATATCATAACAATTTATATTTGCTTAGACCGAAGATGACCCGTAATGCTGTCGAAATGACGGCTTACTTTATGAAATGAAGTAGGCCTACTATAGACAATTTAGATTGGTAATTTATAATAAAAATTACCAAAATAGGCCACGAACTATTGATGCATAAACAACGTAAAGCGTTTCAATTCATGATGGTTTACTGAGTTTTACTAAAATGCGTTAGCCTATCGTTTTCTTAGCATAAACTAACATTTTGGAATCCAGATAGAAAAAGCAAAACTTATACAGTTAAATTGAATACGCCTGTAATAAATAAGGTGCAACACCAACGATAGCTAATTTGTAAATTACAATGATGTTGTAGTACGTTCTAAGGGAAATCAGTACCAAAAACCAACGTTTACAGTTAAGAACTGTAGTACATCCGACCAACTGTATGCGTTAATCAAGTCCCGAGGATATTGATCTCTTGGTTTTGGATTTTCTCGTAAAAGGTTATTGGCAGTCAAAGTTATTTACCATTAATTGCTTCTTTTATAAACAACTTTTAATGTAAACTTATCGGTGTCAGTTTGAAAAAAAAACCTTATACAAACTTTTGTTATTTAACAGATTACGTATTCTCTAAACAATGATTGGTATAGGCTATCCATTAACATTAGAAGGGAATGTGATAAAAATCACACAACGTTGGGTTTTTGGACGTTTGTAATTTTATTTCTTAAGTAGGTAGGCCGTGTATCTTAGGAAAAAGTACCGGCATCAAGGATCGTCGTCAAAAAGGTTGTTATTAATAATTGGCTAGGCGTCCGTACCCAAGAGATGGACTATTTGCCTATTGGCTGTATGGTCCAGCGATTGCATCACACGGTGAGTAGGAACTATTGACTATATATATAGTCAATGGTAGGAAAAGAAAGAGACACATTGGAAAATCGAGTTTAGCATCATCCGTAAACCTCTGTTACAATCACCTACTGCAGTTGTGATTTTTTTACTTTACACTTTACACAACCGCCATTGAAGCGCCGTCACTGAGTGGAAATCTTGTTTCTAAGCTATTGGCGACGATCGTTATTAAATTTAAGTTTCCCACCCGTATACAACACTGATTCAAGGTCTTCTTTCTTGTTATCAAAACTCAAGAACAATTTCATACACTAAAGAATTTCTGGTTCCTGACCTGGATGATACCTAGTTATTAATTTCATTTACGGTTACACTATTACACTATATTATTGAACTTACGATTAATTTAATCCGTTATGTAAGAAAAACGTTTTTAATCTCACTTCGTTGAGATTCGCTTTCAAAATGTGATCGAAAATGGTTGCGGTATTTGTAAACAACATTTGTAAACATATCAGTGACAGCTAGAAAAAATAATCTTGATCCGAACAGCTGTTCGTTATTTCATAGATGATTATGTGATAAAAATTTGACGAAAACTTTAAAAAATCACACAAAACTGCATTTTTGAACGTCCGTAATTTTATTTACAAAGTAGTGAGACCATATTTTAATGGCTAAAGACACTCTCACCAATCCAGTAAATACATTAAAACGACTTGGATCTTGATAGGTACTCTCGTTTTCCTGGAGAAGATTGCGTAAAATGCCATCTTGAGTGTTGCAGACAGACAGACAGAAATTTAGATGAGACTTGTTTCGGCTTCCTTAATGTATAAAACGTAAAAATAACCTAAAAATTTATGATTCTGAGCAATGTACAGACAAAACTCTAATTTTATTTATATAGATGATCAAACCAATTAGTTGACTGGGCAAGGTGATAAATTGAAATATTCAGTAGTCAACAGCTGTCGCAAGACTTCAAATTCCTTGGTCAACACTAGATTTTAATTTTCTTAATTTTTAATTTAATTTAAATTTTTTTTTTTTTTTTTATACTGACTGTTAATTTCCTTTAAAATCTGAACAGAAGAAGGTAAACTAGTCAAGTCATAAATATTATTGAAGGGAATTTGATTTTCTACAACCCTATGCCCAGCATTAATATTATAGGGTGCATAGTTTAAGTAATAACATTATTTGTAAAAAAAAAAACATATGAGGAAAGATTTATTTTCTAAATTTACAAACTTTTGATAGTGAATAATGCGAAAACTATACAAGATATCGAATATCGAAAATAGTAAACTACAAACTTGCTGGCAATTTAATGGTATTTAATTTTGTATGTAACCATAATTTCGTTTGGGCCCATGGTTTCCGAGATATAAGCGAAAAACTTGAAAATGGTAACTTCAAGACACCCCTCCCTCCACAACAGCACAAGGACCGAGGTAATATTAAAAACTGTCTGTTTAGGCCTACTTGACGACTTCTGTTGAAGGCTGAAATTATATCATCTTGATAGATAACAATGTTAGATGCAGCTGATGGCTGATCTGCCGCTAAAGAAACCATGCTGGGCTATTGATAAATAGTTCTTAAAAAAATATATAATCTAGTGAGGACCAGGGATTTTTCAACAACTTTGGCAAGCGATGATTGTATGGAAATTTGTCTGTAGTTTTTTTTTATGTCTGAAGAATTGCCGTTCTTGAAGCTAGGTGTGACAAAGCTTGTCTTCAGGCAGTGGGGAAATATACCTAAGCTAAGTGCAAAAACCAGTTGAGGTATACTGTCAAGTGCGGAGCAAGAATCCAGCTACAGTACTTTAATATTTATGGTGGAATATCGTCATGACCAGCTCACTTATTACCATCTAAGGTGGAAACCCCCTTTTCGGTGGAAGAAACAGAAAATTCAGTGAATGTGAACAGTGTCCACTGTTCTTCGAAGAAAGGATCTCTTTCAGATGGTTTGAAAACTGATTAAAAGTGCTCAGCAAAGAGCTCACAGATTGCTGGTGGGATATTTGAAGTTTTCTCATCAAGGCTCATCGTATTATTTGTTTTGGCAAAGTTCTTCGTGTTATTAATTATAATTCTTAACAAAAATAGGGTCTGACTTAGGGGAGGTACGAATGAGGCATTTAGTTCAAAATTCCTCCGTGAACAGCGCTGTAGTAGAGAGCACTTTGGCAATGAAGGTTTACTAATCGCAAAAATAGTTCTGTTCATAAAATAAAATTATAAATGTCTCAAATTCAATTTTATTATTTTTTAATTATAAAATTAAACTATCATAACCTAACCGAACTAACCAAACTTGCTGATAAAGAAATAATATAACAAAAGTTTAGTAATCGGAAAAATAATTCTGTTTATTAAATAAAACTAGAATTTGCTCACTTAAAATTTTGTAATGACTTAATAATAAAATTTAACTGTAATAACCGAACCAAACCAACCAAACTTGCTGATAATAAAAAAATCTTGGACAAAAAGTTAATGCTTCCAGCAGGATTCGAACCCGGGACCTACAGTATATCAGCCCGGCAAGCTAACCATTAGACCACCGAGGCCGATGGCTACCGACCGTTTTGTTACGGTAATGGCGTTCCCTCAGCTAATAAGAAGCCCACAGCTGTCATCGTAGCCTCTTCTATACCTCCCCTGAGTAAATACCACAAAAATAGGTCTTTTTATAGATAAACATTTTTTGCAAAATCTCAATGCTGTATCTAAAATCGTTTAGGAGTTATTAGTTTTTTGTAAAAAAAAAACTCACATAAATTCAGACAGATGGTAAATTAGGCACCACAGACCCATATTCCTATATGGTATGTTGAAATGTGTTTGTCCTTGACCTAAGCAATAACGATATATATTGTACATGTGTCCAGAGAGTTGCGGGACACTTTGTATAACCAAACAGTAAAGCACAAATAATGAAGGTTGAAGGTGTAGCCCTAATTTAATCTAGAATCAAAATTTCGTTGACGTTAGCGATCCGTGTCACCAAAAATGAACTAAATACGAAAAACGAGCTTAATTTTACAATTGGATGAAAAGTCTACTTGTGTTGGTTAGTCTTTATGGTTCTACCATAGAAATCACATTTTACGATTTTTTTTTAATTATTATTATTATTTTTTTTTTTACTCTCCCACGATAGGCGTGGAGATTGTAGGATTTCCACATTTCTTTCAATGGTCATCTGTTTCAGTTCTAATTAATATTGTTTACACCGTATGAGTCAGTCAGAAAATAGATTAACCAAAAATTGAGTATTTTTAATCTATGATAATATGTGGTGTAATACATTCTATGCTCTGTGGTGGTGTATGACAAAGCTGCATGTAACCTAAGCCTGCTTAAGAAAACTGGATAAAAATACCTAACCCAACCCTCCTTCTGCTGAGTCGTCCCCTCCCCCTCCGACCTAACCTAAATAAATAAAGTTTATAGGCTCTAATGTAATGCTGAAAATCAAAATCAAAATAAACCTAGGTATTAATAAATAATATTCGTGGCGTGAGCAGTTTAAAGTGTTAGTGTAGTTTTTTTTGGCACGAAGCCTAGTAAGCCTTAGGCTATATAGAATCTGTCTATGAACGAATTGCCCTTAATAAATTAATTGGATCATTTTTCATTTTACGTGTTTACAATTTACATTGTTATGTTATGTTAACGTTGTTAACAGTAATACAATACCGTATGAAGTTTGGTTGGGCTAAGTTATATCTTACATCTAATTTAAGCCCTAAGACCTAGGGATCATGTCTGTCCAACCACCCAAAGTGTTACCCAAACCAGGTAGGCTAGGCCTATGCCTAAGTATAGTTAACTTGCTTATTAATTTTAACAATGTTAATCAAGGCTACACTTTACTTTAGGTCCTACACAAACAACCGAATGAAAATATCGATTATTCGATTGTTTCATTCGATTGTTTTATTCGATTGTCATATCGTTTGGTTAGTTAGGTTAGGTTAGGTTAGGTTAACCTTACCTAACTAACCAAACGATATATCGAACAATCGATGTATCGATCGATATTTTCATTCGAATGAGTGTAGGACCTAAAGTCTAAAGTAAAGTGCAGCCTTAATCAACCCTTTTAAGATCAAGATTCATTAATAAAAGTGTTTAAGTTAACTTAAATATCTTTTTTTGTCGCCTAGACTTTAAATTAACTCGCAACACTAATTTATACCTAGCCCTATTAACTTATATTCCTTGCAGCAGCAAACCTAAAACCTCTTAGGGATAAATTCATTTAGGCTATGTATCTATGGTATCATTATGGATCTTGTATTTATGAAAAATTCATTTCAGCAACATTTAAGTTAGGCCTAACTCACCTGTCACTTTGTTTACTGTAACAGCATAACTTATGGGCGAAGCCTAGGCCTAAGTATTTTGGGTTAAAATTACGTCTTATTTCTTGGGCTATTCCTTACATTACGGACGGGTCATTCCACATCAAATCATCCACAAAAAATTTAACTTAAATTGTCACCCACCATTTCAGATTTTAATGAAACTTGGAGGTTATGATCTTCCTACTAAGATATAAAAATATTCCAAATTTCAACTCTTTATCTCAAACGGTTTTTGATTTATAGCATTTTAAACTTTTGGAAAAATGGACGTTTTCGCTCTTAGAACGGCGAATATTGTAAAATTTCAAAAAGCTGTAACTTAGGCATTTATGGTTTAAATCTTATGAAAAAAATCAGTATTATCAAGTTAACTAAGTTATGCTGAATATAGGGGAAAATATGACATTACTCTAGCTACCTTCAATTAATGAATAAAAAAATAAAATGAATTGTTTAAGATCAGTAAAATGTGTAAATGCAAAATATCTAAATTTGTATTGCCAAAAGACTTAAGTTATTTATTGGAAAACTTCAAATGTTGTTTGATTAAAAATGTAAAAAATAGGGAAGATGTTTTGTAGCCTTGGCTATTCCAATTGTTTATATCAGCTAGAGTGCACTTAGACCTAGGATTGGACATGTTGGCAACACTGCCCTCCACTGGGCCTGTTGTAGGGGCCACACTTGTGGTGGTAATTTTTCTGTCAAACGTGGCAAATTTGAACATGAAATCTAATACAAAAAAGTGAAAAAAACATTTTTATTTAAGAGTTACAAAAAAAATATAGTGGTGATCTAGATGTAATTCTGACCAACCTCATTTACCTTTTTTAAGGTAAAACCCCATGTGTCCGCAATGTATCAATTTACCAAATCTTGTTTACAAGCCAGCCTATTGCATCTTTACATGTTTACAATAAAACCTGTTCTTTCTTTCTTTGCTTTATAGGGCAAGTTAAAGTGGTTCGAGCTCTTTACAACTACTCTGCCCAGCAGGTGAGTTGTTTTTATTGTATTTGTTTTTAAGCTAGCCGAGGCCTTAAAAGATCAGCCTTAGATCAGCGCAATCTATCGGTGGCCCGGGGAAACTACCGGTACCGCAATTAAAAAAAAAAAACTGGCAACAGCTTTAACATGGGAATGGAGTGTCTACTTAAGTATTAATAGTCAAAGCTATTACCCACGGGTTTGACTTCATAAGTAAAACTAAAAATGAATAGTGCTGCCACCTGTTGGTAAACCTTGTAACTGTAGGCCTATAATGCTATCTATCTATATATTAATAGGCAGGCATGTTTCTTTAAAACCTTTTTTCTCAGCTCGTGTGCATCGCAGGGAAAATCTACTTATACTGTTAGAAAGATATTTGCCTGTAGATGTGCAGAATCCCTTTATAAATTAAAATAGGCTAAAAAATAAGTACAAAAAACGATTTTGAAAACTTCAAAAAATTAACATGGACCAACTGGGTTGCCATGATGGTGACGAAATAACAACAAAATGTAAACAGAAAATCAAAACAAATGGAAGAAATCCCAATCACATGTTTTATTTACAGTGTGGGGAGAAAATAGAGTAGTCTGTACATTAATTATTTTTGGTCGAGTTTCGACCACAGGACGACCACTAGTTATTATTATATCATAGAACCAACTTGTTTATTTTAAACAGCTGCTAAGATTCATTAAATGGTTAACATGTGAAACTCCAAAGCCACTGGGGCAGAGCCCGAAAGTCAGAACAATAAACCTCACTGTGATGAGAACAATAAAGAGTTTTCATTAATTAATTCATTATATTTTTGTTTAATTATTTACAATAGATATAACTGTTGTAGCCAGACGAGTTGTCATTCAAAGCTGGGGAAATCTTGTATGTTTTTGACCAAACGTCAAACAAGGATTGGTGGAAGGCAAGATGCGGAAACAGAACAGGAGTCATCCCAAGTAACTATGGTAAGATTAATTTTAGATTTCTTGGGTAGTTTAGTTAGCACTGTGTTATTAAAGTTGACCTTTTGTTAGGGAGCATCAATTGGCAGCTTGGGTCCAAGATTGAGTCATTTTAAAATTAAATGAAAAAGTCTAAGAAATCATTTTTTTATAATTTATACGGCAATAGTAGTGAGCCCGTTATAAGTTATCCCAAGAATCATGCGTGATACAAACTATGTGTTACCGACAGGCAAACATAGAAACATAAAGATTAAAGACAAACAGAATTGACAAATAATGGCTAAACGTACCTTGTCAGACAATCCTTGACATGTAGTGACAAGTGACACATGTTTCGGCGGTCATAGAAATATCTCCGCCATCGTCAGGCTAACAAAAGGATCCACTTGATGTGTCGTCAGAATAAATAAATAAATAAATAAACATTTTACACAACAAATAAAAACAAACATTATAGTTTACTCATTGTTGTGGATATTAACATTTAACAATAGGTTCTCGGGGACAGAATACAGGCCTATGTTTTCTTAACTGTACCGTCACGGGAGCCGTCTTATTGTACCGTTAATATGTCCGTGTCCCAATGTGTTCGTGTTTGTGTTTATGTGATTTTGACGATGTCCAAGCGACCGACTGTGACAACGATAACAATGCTTTGATTCTCAAAATTTCCTACGTGACCATGACGCAAATAGCATCAAAACCATAGTTGTAGCTTCCATACAACTTTTTTGAGCTGGAACGAAAATACAAGGTAAATAAACCACTATGAACATTATAGGCCTAATAATTGACACACATTGCCGTGGACATGGCAGGAAGCAGACTGAACTAACTTTGCTATGTTGTGATAGACTGACTTGACTCTGGGTTGTCGTCTGCGTTATCAAAAGCTGATACTGGTCTACTGTAGTGAGAGAGGAGAGTATTGAAAATATAACGAGATTCGTAAAATTGAGTTTTTCATTCAAAATGTGTGCGCTGTCCTTGGTTTTTATATCTTTATATATTTTGAATTCTTCAAGTGTGTTTTATAAATTTCATTTCCCACAATAAATGAAGAATATCGAGACCATCATTTATGTCTAGCATATCATGTTTATTGTCAATGATGTGTTGAGCAAATTAAGATTTCTGTATTTTATTTAAATAAAAAATACAAATACAATTTTAGGGTAAATCTTTAGGGGCTGGTCGGTGCTCTTTGTACCTGATTTTAAAAGGTCGGCCCACTTTGTCCTACAATAGGTGTTCAGGCAATCGGCACATTTTATGATACACCTGTCTTATCATACTTATCAACTTGTGCTTGTTTACCTTTAGATATGTTTCGTAGCCGATTGGAAGTTTTAAAAGCTAGTTTAAGTTGACTAGGTACGTTTAGCCATTATTTGTCATATTAACGCAATCCTTGGGCTATGAAAATGATTTTTTTAAAGAACTGATTTAGGGATTTACACAACTTGTATTTTAGTAGGCCTATAGCATATTGCCCACAATTCACATCAGAATCACCACACAGAACCAATTTTCTGTGATTAAAGTTGCCCTTTTCCAGTGGAAATGCAGACAGAGTCCGTTGATGTTCCGTTACATGAAGCAGCGCGTAGAGGAAACTTGAGTTTTCTACGAGAGTGTTTGCAACAAGGCGTGTCAGGGACAGGTCTGGACATGGTTGGCAACACTGCCCTCCACTGGGCCTGTCGTAGTGGCCACACTGATTGTGTCAAAGAGCTCTTGGCACTGCCTAAACCTCCAGTCAATGAACAGGTAACCAACGATAGATAACACTTTGCACACTAACTAGCTCATTCCGATTGACAACTAAACAAAACAATATTTTTGTTAAGATTACTGTCTATATGTAGTACAGTCTATATGGAGTAATTACTGACAGGCTGGGTAGCTGAGTGGTAGTGCTCGCCTAGTAATCAAAAGGTCGCCGGTTTGATCCTGAGAAAAGTCAGTAGCTTTTTTATAGTTCAAAACCAAAACTGGACCCAGCTGTTCCTGATCATTTGGCTTTAAATAAATGATCCTGACTAATGAAACCGCTGATCTTAGTCAGTAACAAAGCTACACAGGTCATCACACACCATTCTACACTCATCCTTCACTCATATTTGGGTTAAAATACGCACCTAGGTGGCGTCCCATCTCAATGATTGATAATTGATAATAATAATAATAATAATTAGGTATTGCTTCATTCTTTTTAAGTAGCCTAAATTCACTCAATAAGCTTCAGAGTACCATACATAAATCACATTACACATTTCATAAATATTTTACTAGGCCTACTGTATTCCTATATTCTTGTTTTTTCCACATATTAAGTAAGTCACTGATAGCGACTGAACCTACGCACAGGCTTCCAGCCCATGTAGGCTTATTTCACAAAAACTTTATATTGAACTTTCTGTGAAACCTATAATGATTATTTCTAGTTTTTAAGTATATTTTTACTAAATGTTCTATAATAGTAAGCTTTTTTCACTGAAGTGTAATGTTCATGTTTTCCATTGTCCATTTTTTGTTGGAATTAAAGTTTATTTTGATTTGATAAAAGAGGAAAAAGATCAATACCTAAAACTATTCTTAAATTTACCACCTCAAAGATTTAGTAGAAAGCTTGAATATCAATATGAACTGCTAGCGTCATTTCTTAACAAAAACATAATTACAACTACTATAAAAAGTATTGGTGAGCAACACTAGCTGTACAAATAATTTGTTCAATTTCATCACCAAAGTAATGTAACTTAACATATATAAATTTTTTCAGAACAAAATGGGAGACACTCCATTACATCTAGCAGCTGCGCACAACCACCTTGATGTTATACCTCTATTACTTCAGGCGGGGGTGGACTGCGCGATAAAAAACAATGACGGACAGCTGGCAGAACATCTCGGATCTACAGCAGTGGCCAACCTGATTAGGCTCAATCACCTGCGTATTTCTCACCCAGCGTCTTACACAGCGGAGGATTATGTCGACGACTCAGATTAATGGCACAACGGTTAGCTGCTTACGATCAACATAAACTATACATAATTCCTTCTGGTTACTCCTGGAAGAGTAAAAAGAAGAATATACAGTGGGTTCTCAATAATTCAAACTCAAAAACCTGACGCTATAAATTAGTCATATGGGATTTGATTTGTGTTTTCACAGAGTCTTGCATCTTACAGTGTATTGGAGCTTTGACGTTGGATAACTAGACAATCCATTCCCGTGTTAATCCTGTCACCTGTGTTATAATTTAAATTAAAGTACAGTAAAACTTAAGGGGGCAAAGCCATTACGGATAACCTTTTTTTTGGTTGGCCAATGGTAGGAATTTTAAAGGCTGTGTCTTGTTTAAATAGATCTACAACTGTATATCCAAAATTGATTTTCTAAAATAATTTATCGTTTATCTATATTACAGTATGAGATCCACATTCCGATGGACCAACTACTTGCACCAGAAGGGAGAATTTCCATTGCCTAGCTCATTTCCCAATTGATTTATATTTTTATTATGATTCTCGTTAACCCGGGTTTTAGTTTATCACGGTCCTGTTAAAAGGGGTTAACTTTACAAGTTTAATTAAGCCACCAACAGAGTGTGCTGCTGTCAATTGCTCATAGTAGCCTATACACTGTATTTTTGCAAGCCAAAAAAAGGACAACTTACTGTTAACCATAGCATGTTATTTGACGTGAATTAGGTATCGTAAATCAAGGGAGATTATAGAATTTGTACAGAAGTGAACTCTATATAATCAATCAGCTCAATCAACTAGGTTTCTATTTGCTTGAGGAATTTGCTAAAGCTGGTCCATATAGATAGTATGTTTACTTCAGTACTCCAAGTCTATGATAGTAGTGATATTTTAAGTACCAGCTTTGACTATTAATACAACTAGACATTCCATCCCCATGATAAAGTTGTTGCCAATTTTTTAACAAAATGCTTCGTATTTCATGTTAGGCTTAGATTGAGCTGATCTAAATTACTAATTTCTGCCGAATAAAAGATTATTTACCAAATCTTACTGTTATGACCGATAATAATGATGACCGATGATAAACTATGTCGGCAACAAAAACTAAGGTAGACAATCAAATTTTAGACACTACCGCTTTCTGTGACTGGTTCTCACAACTACATTCAATTTTAGTAAAGAATTGGCAACAGCTGGTCCATATAGATGGGAGGTCTACTTCTGTATCCAATATTCAATGGTACCGTCAGCATTCCTTAATGGCTTAGAGCGAGACAAAATTGGTAACAAAGCCACGGTACCGGCCTGCTGAATCAGCTGTTGCACTAATTCATAATGGAGCGTCTATTCCATAGTAAAAAAAAAAATAATGGACTGGGGCTGTGGCGTCGTCCTGTAATCCAGCTACTTGGAGGTCGCGGATTGTGAATATTTATAGGCATGATCATAATGGATGCGATACTCCCTGGTGTGAATTAACGTCCGCACTAGTGAGCACTATGACTACCTAGTATTATCCTGGTAATCAGACCAATTCATAAATTACAAGGCAAAAATGTGGTTTGGATTCCACTATAAACTGTAGGTCCCTTAGTTTCCATTGGCTGTATGGACTAATAATTAACAGTCCTGTCTAAGAAACATGTCGGCCTTAGTCAGTAACAAGAACAAGACTACAAGATTGTGCCTTTCATCCTACAATCACTCCATTCATACTTGGCTTAAAACACCTACCTTCGTATGGTCGCCATTTCAATTAAAAAGTATTTTTAAAGTCTGCATAGTGTCAATGTTTTTTATTACTGTTATTACCATAGCAATATACTGGCTGGTGCGATGTTGCAACACACCAACTTTGTAAGAGGAGGCTATAGTACGTGTCAATTGGTACCTGACTTTTTTAGCATTTCAACTAAAAATGTGCAACACTGGGTGGTCTATTTAACACGTTCGCTGCTGACCGCTAGATGCCGGGACGGCACCAGGAGCTGAACTAACACTCGCCCCTGCGTAAACATTGCTGCCGATACACTGAATTACAGTAAAAACAACAGTAGTTGTACTGGATGGCAATGTTCTGCAATAAAACTGGCTTTGGACAAAGTACTAAGTGATTCTGATAGATAGCAGCACTACCCAGGTTACAGTCGGTAAAGTAGTGTCGCTATCTAGCAGGAAAGAGGTGGGACAAAGCCCTGTTCTAAACGACCCTGGTGGTGATTTTGGGAAACAATATATTTTTATTGTCAGAAAAGTACGTCCCCAAGAAAGAAATAATAGGACGCTCGTGACGAGCTGTCTGATCCATGGTAACGTTAAACAACAATGAACGGCGATGTTCCGGAACGTCCGTAGCAGCGAACGTGTTAAATGTTGAATATATTAGGTTGCACTTATATATTCAAACCAAGATACAGCTGTATGTGCGAGTTTATAAGCTAAATCATGTTGTGTTTTTGTACTCAATAGCATTGCTTTTTCTATAAAAAATACCTAAACTGAATAATTGAACCACTAATAGTCAAAGAGTACATAATCAGGTTTCATAAGTTGATTGTCTGTCATATTAGTAGTAATTTCGCTGTTTCGACATTTAGTAATCCCACACCCTCCTGCCTCCCTTTAGTGTCAGGCTATTGAGTCATCAGGCTACTGTATCGTCCTACTCTAGAGTCTAGCAAAAATTGTGAGTCGTTGTGCCAGTTGTCTGTAGTTTTATCTGTTGAATTTATATATATATATATATTTACGTTATTATTTCAGTAGTTCAAATATGTAATTTAATCTTCTATATTTAAGTTTTTATTTTTGTTAGTAAAGGATCTTTTACCTACATGTTTTTACTATAATTTTTATAAATATTGACCATTTCTATAATTATTCGCATTTCAATTATTTACCAATACCATGATCATTTACTCTTGTGATGCAGGTTTTAAAATGATGTATTTTTTCTAGATTTTGTACACTTAAGCTAAATGAATTTAGAGAGTTTAGAAGAGTTAATAGGCTTATAGAACCACGTTTCTTTTAAAATGCTTACAACATTGCCATTGCCATGCTATAGTAGGCAAAGTAAAATTTTAAATGGAAACTTTATTCACTTTCTGTATTTAATTATGAAGTACTTTAATTCCCCGAATAAGGTTGAAAGTAATTCAACTAAGATTGCTTAGAGAATTGTTTCACAATGTATTATTCTTTGATCTCTTTTATTCATTCCATAATATTGTACTTAAAAGTTTATAGTTTACTAGGTGTTATTGTGTGTTAATCGTTATTGGATTTAAGTTTATCTATATAATTTTTATTTAAGATATTTCTATTTTATCGTTATAATTAATTGTTTTGATTCATCCTGTCCTGATCTTAAGTTTAGGTTTGAAATTTTGTATACACAGAATCAACATTTTTATATATTTTTTATGTTGGTTGACTGTTGAAATAATTTTTCCTACAGTTACCTAACAATGTACATGTTCTCTCACTGATTTGAGAAAGCAAAGTGGCCAATTCGTTCATCAGTGAGACAATGTTAACATTGTCTCACTCCAGATTTGCAACGTGAAGGCACGAAATAGTGAGCGCGTAACATGCAGGCAACGTTGTATGCGCGCGAAATACGTTGGCAGCACTGGCTGTAAATCAGCTGGTCGGCTGTTGTACTCACTGAGCTATAATAATAACTGGAGTTACCACTCTGTGTTTTAAAAACGTACCACTGTTTTTGCTGGTTTTGTTTTAGAGTTTTATTTCGTTAGGTTGGCCGGGTGATCGGGTGGGACTTGTCAAATTAGAGGCAAAATCAAGATGGCGTCATCCTGTTTTGTTGACGATAGTAAACAAAGATTTGCCAACTCAACATTATGATTGCAATATAAGTTTATTTATTTATTTTACGAGCAAGAGCAACCCATTTTAACAAGATCATAAACCGATGGTCGTTTTTTAATCGAATGCCATAGGGCTATTGGCCTAAACCAATATCTCCAAACCAGGAAACTTGACTAGCCTATTTTCACCACATAGCTTGAAAAGAGGAAAATAAGTTAGTATTTTTTATTTACTATCAAACAAAAACAATTTATAATGTTTCAAAATAACTTTAAGTTAAATACAGAGGGTTTAACGTGCAATCACTTAAATAAGTTTTTGATACAAGTCCTTGAAATAACGGATAACATAACCCCAAATAAATAGTATGGTTAGGTTAGAATGAATTGGAATTATTTGACAGCATCCCACCAACCGATCACACGGCCAACCTAACAACACGAAACACCAAAAACAAACCAGCCAAAACAGTGGCAGTTTTTCTCTAACGTTTAACCAGAGAGTAGTGACTCCAGTTATAATCTATATCTCAATGGTTGTACTGTTGTATTTGTCACTTCACATTAAATGTTATATTGAAAGTTCACTTCTGTGTAAAAATAGGTTATGTTTCTTCACCAATTTATTTGTTTTATGGTAACTGTAGGAAAAGTATAATGTGCAACTCGAGTTCAAAGTACAATTGCCTCACTCGAGAAACCATTCCTCACTCGCCTAAGGATTTCTCTCGAGTGAGTCAATTGCTCACTTTTCTCACTAGTTGCACAAATAACTATTCAGTAATGTAAGTATGCAAAGTCTGTGTTTGAATTTTTGCAACAATATGATATTGAAAATCTTATAAAAGGTATATTTAAAAAAAATTATCATATTTTACTTCATAATATTTGTTCTTAACAGGCTGTTTAAAGTGTTGTAATTCTGTCTTCCTAATAAAGTGTCTTGATTTTTATACTGCTTTATAGGGTAAGTGGCCCACTAAATAAACATTTTATATTTTTTAAAACAAGGATTTTTGTTTGGCAAATCCTATCATAAACGGTCTTAAAAGTAACTTTGGTGCCTGATTGGAACATAGAGGTCGTGCGGAACGAGGTGAAGCCTGAGATTTTCGGCAGGAACGGTCTAAAGCGGGGAAATCCATTGTGGGGGTAAGAGACGAGCCGATCGTCGCCTTGCATAGCGACACTTCCCCCGCCACACCACTATTCCCCTCCAAGCTTCACCTCGTTCCGTACGACCTCTACCTTGTCACTGGTTCAAAAAGAAAGGGTAATTTGTCATTTTGTAACACAAACGAAATTCAGTTTTCCAACCAGTTCATCTTCAAGCTTCCCAATCCCACTATAGTGTCTTGTACAGTCAAGGTTGGTTGCATTTGTCATGTTTATTGATGTTTTATTGATGTAAACTGCAATATTTTACATGTAAATCACAATAAACGTGTTAAACTACTGTTATATACTAATGTTAAGATCAAAATTCTAACTTCCAACCAATAAATTATTCAACCAGCCAGTCATTTACTGGATCAAAAACTTGGGTATAACCAGTTAATGACTGTTTTGGTTATTAACTAGATTTGAAACAATTTCCTTTGAAAGTTTTCTGAAGTGATAGCTAGAAATCACCGAATTTCTACAGAAAGAAATAATGTGAATACACAACAACCAAAATTTAACCGCGGGTTGAAGATATGATAATCTACTAAATGGAAAGTGGCATTCACTAGAATCTATATTTTAACAATCCTGAAATGATTATTTTTATTATATACAGAGTAACCAGCTTCGACTTGACAGTAGTGAATGGGTTATTTGGTAGAAAACAGGAGGTTAATATGATTTTAAAATTTGATTTAGTATGTTGTTTACTGGTGCAATTGATTTTCAAACGTATTTTCAAAACTCTGTTGAATTTAATATATTAAGTTTAATCATTCCAAATTCATTCAGTTCTAATTGTGTAAAAACTACTAAAACAAATTTTGAATTATTGGGAAGGAATCATTAAGTCAATTGCACACAGAACAAAACTTAAATTAGCAAGCAACACACTCATTTTTTTTAACTTCAGACCATGATTAACTTTTGTGGCTCACATAATTTTGTTTTGGGATATATTTTTGGGGTCTATGTACAGGGTTTACACGAATAGGTTGAGAAAGTTATTTTATATTACTAGCCCATTTATGCAACGAAAGCTTTAAAACTTAACACAATTCATAAAATAATAGGTTTTAAAAATATTCTGTGAAAATTTCAACTTTCTAACATTAGCAGAAACAAAATGGTGGTTTCTATAACAATGACTTTCTTGAGCAGAGATATCACCTGATTTGTTAACTGTGTTGCAATTTTGACATTATTGTTGAGCAGCTGTTTGATTGAAGATTATTGTTAGAGCAATGCAAACATAACCTAACCCTCTCAAGTGCAGTTTTACTGGAACTAAAGTTTGAGCAATGCCTTTTGAGTTAGAACAAAGAGTTAAGTGTTGAGGGTGGAATATTGTTTTTGGTAACTACAGAAGCAGTTAGACAAAGTGTCAAGATTACATTGAAGTAAAATACCCAGTAATAACTGAAAAAAGGTTTTTTAATACCAATTAAATAAGTTGGCTAATTTATTATTATACCAACATCTTGTTTCTATAAATTTTGGGAAGCTTCTCCAATTGTGTAATGTTTCAAATCTTTTGGTGCATAAAATGATAAAAAATAAAAATATAACATCCAACCCTATTTGTGAGACATCCTTGTTCAACATATTTCTATTATAAAGCAGGTGTATTTAAGGCTGTGTTAAAACTTACCTAATGTTTAGTATTATTCAAAATGTTTATACTGTATATCTAAAAAAGCTATTCTCATTTATGTTTCTGATATGAAATGTGCTATAATCTATGTTGTATACTACTTAAAGTTATTTTTATTTGTATTGCCTTCCATTAATGCATTAGGATATACCTATTGTGTTTTACCTTTAATCTGTCTTAGATTATAAGATAATTGTGAAGGTTACATATTAAAACCACAGAAAACATACTACTATAACCCTGAATGCTGACCGTGTGGAGCTTTGCCTGTCAATTTGTAGGCAGCGCCACCAGCATAGCAATTAGCATAGCAATGATGGTGGCGCCACCTACGAATTGACAGGCAAAGCTCCACGCGGTCAGCATTCTGGGTTATAGTAGTATGTTTTCTGTGATTAAAACAATATTATACCATCCTTTCTATACACACTTATCATTTATATTTATTAGGAAACTAGACATGTTAAATAGATAGTTCTTGGTTATTTACGGACTCTATATTAATCCTAGAATTTGATTTATTTTATTGATTGTAAAATAATATATTAAAATAAAATGTATTTCATTTATAGAATAAGAGTAAATTGAACTTAATTGGGTTTGGAGTAGGCCTAATAATAAACCAATGAGATTCTCTATACTGGGAATTATTTACTGTAAATGAGATTCGTATTCCACAGATATATAGCCTTATATTTTCAATATTGTACATATTTTTGACATATTTTTCCCCCCAGTGATATTTGAGTGCTAGTTCTACTAGTCAATAATATTTATCTGCAATAAATATGTTTCAAAACTAACACTGTCCATTGAAATTGCTTTCCCAAAGTTTGTTTTGCTCATATTAGGTGCTATGATGCTACTAAATCCATTCTATGTTAACCATGCAATATGGAGAGCTCATGCCATGTATTTTAAATAGCAGTCTCAGCAATACTAGCCGACCTGAAATCGTCAGGACCCACAAAGGCTCTTTTACTTTTAAATTTTACTTTCTCCCCCCATGTATGGAGAAAGTATTGTTTTATACTACCTTAAGGTTTGAGTTTTGCGATGAAATATTCAATTCCCCTGAACCCAAAAAATGGGTTTTCGTAGTGATGTCTGTGTGTTGTGTGCATGTGTTTGGATGTGTACAGAGCTATTGCACCTGTGGTTTTTTTTGTGCTTTTAAAGTTCTGATTTTAAATGGATATTTTCCCATAAACATTCATGAAAAAAACACAATAATCTGATTTTCACAAATGTGATGTGAAAAGGGACCTCTTGCCGGCAATGCAAAATGTTCAATAGGCCTATGTCTTGATATTTAAAGGTGATTAAGGTGGAAAATATCAAAATTCAGTTTTTTATCGATTTTTATACTTTATTTACCATAGAACAGGACAATATCGGTTAAAATATTGAATCCATTATGTAAAAGGCCGAATCATTTTGTTAGTTTTATATTTCTTATTTAGATAAAAAATCACAGGTCAAAAGAAACTAAACTGTTTTGGGTACACTTCCATATCTGTTGGCACAAACAACCGAATGGAAATATCGACCGATATATCGATTATTCGATATATCGTTTGGTTAGTTAGGTAAGGTTAACCTAACCAAAGATATATCGAATTAAACAATCGAATAATCAATATTACTCATTCGGTTTTTAGTGCCAACAGATATGGAAGTGTACCCACTGTTTTTAATAAAGACAAAAATACAAGACAACATCAGTAAAGAAAGTAAATAAACACATATGGTTAAATAACTTAAATAACCATAGAGGTTGAACATCCTTCCCTTGGAAGGAAATGATCCAAACTTCTTTAAAAAAACCTTGTAATTAGATTTGTCATTGTCATTTAACCTGAATGGTTAAGTATATCCTCTGCTCTCCCTTTTCCCCCATACAGTAGATAAACATGTCAATTTGATGCTTACCAGAACCTTTGACTATTAATACAACAATATAGTCAGTGCCAGAACGTAGACTTAATTTGCAAAGGGAGCCTTCCATGTCTTCCGGTCGTGAGGATTGAAGGAGAGAAGGAGGCTTTTCAGGGATACTGGTTCTTCATTCGACTGCACCATGTTCTTTCTTATTTCGATGAAAATTCAAAAATCAAAAGAAACTAAACTGTTTTTAATATAGACCAAAAATACAAGACAACATCAGTAAGGAAATTAAATAAAAACATATGGCTAAATAATAATTCAATAACCATAGAGGTTGAACAGTGTTAGCTTTGACTATGAATACAATATCATAGATAAAACATACTCCCTTAGACAATATAGCATAGACCAACCAACGTTTTATCTATGCCAATAGTCAATGGTGTTAGCCCACGGCCGCCTTTAACTACAGGCCGCGGCCTTCGAACTGGCAACGTTGCAAGTGGTGTTGTAACAGCTTTTTTTGTTTGGAAGCAGCTTATTTGTGTATTTACTGAAGATTGGTTAATGGACTATGATAATATTGACTCTGCTTAAAAATGTACAGATATAGATTTTAATTCATATTGTTTCGGTTTTTAATTCTGTGGGTTTTATTTTCAATATTTTAATAAATTTATGTTCATAAATTTAAATTTAAATCAATAAAGTGCGAATTAATGAGCTGATGTCACCTGTCTGCCATGTTATCTTATGGGACGACTGTCGCTGAACACCACTTGCGACGTTGCCAATTCTACCAGGCCGCGGCCTGTAGTTAAAGGCGGCCGTGGTAACAATACGGTCTGTGGCCATCGGCCTCGGTGGTCTAGTGGTCAGCGTGCCGCGCTGGTATGCTGAAGGTCCCGGGTTCGAATCCCGCTGGTAGCATTAACTTTTTGTCCAAGATTTTTTCATTATCAGCAAGTTTGGTTGGTTTGGTTCGGTTATGACAATTTAATTTTATTATTAAGTCAATATAAAATTTTAATTGAGCAATTTCTAGTTTTATTTAATTAACAGAATTATCTTTTTATTACTAAACTTTTGTTATATTATTTCATTATCAGCAAGTTTGGTTATTTCGGTTAGGTTATGATAATTTAATTTTATAATAAAAAATTTATGAAATTGAATTTGATGCATTTATAATTTTATTTGATGAACAGAACTATTTTTGCGATTAGTAAACCTTCATTGCTTAAGTGCTCTCTACTACAGCGCTGTTCACGGAGGAATTTTGAACTATAATGCCTCATTCATATCTCCCCTAAGTCAGACCCCTGCATGACTTGACTTCCATGCTTCCATCCATATTCCAAGATTGTCATTCATTAATTATTGTCAATCGCTGTATAGGTTATAAATTGTATTTTGTAATATTGTAATTTATTTATTACTAGTCACTAATATAACTTACGTTCTTAAAAGCACATTCATTATTTTAATATGGGCGACAGAGATGACCTAATTTCTCAGTTCACTGGCATTACTGGACTAGATGCAGATAGAGCAAAGTTTTACCTAGACTCTTCAGCTTGGCAATTGGATGTAAGAAGCATGCAAAAATTTATCTAAGCCTCCAAGAATTTTTAGATAAGATTCTTAGTCCTAACTGTGTAAAAAATGTTATTTTGTTAAGTACAGCCAATATTTAAAAACTGAACATAGCTAGGCTAGACCTAGGTGTAGGCTAATCTTATGTAGGTCTAACTTAAGAAAATATTTTTGCATAGCCTAAATTTAATGTTGTTTATGGTTTAATGAATGCAGTGTTTCCTAGATAGGTCTTAGTTAGCCTTTATCTAAACTTAGGCCTACTTATTTAATTAGTGTTTTAGCCTACAGTGTATAGTCATAAGCTAAGTTTTGCAAGTTAGCCTATTGTCATAGGTACCCTAGGTAATAGAAATGGTAGGCCTAGGCCGTAATTATTTATATTGTAGGCCTAGGCATAGAGCCTATCATTAAGTTAATGCCTCGTGGTGAGAATCTCCGGTTTCAATGCAAGCCTGACGAAATTCACTCAATAAGTTATTAAGTTGACACAAATTTTGATCTTTTTCCCATCAAATAATGGGCTGCACTTTACTTGACGTCCTACACTCATTCGATTGTTTCATTCGATATATCGTTTGGTTAGTTAGGTTAGGTTAACCTTACCTAACTAACCAAACGATATATCGAAGGAAGCAATCGATTAATTGATATATCGATCGATATTTTTATTTGAATGAGTGTAGGACGTCAAGTAAAGTGCAGCCAAATAATGTCACCAAACCTTCGTTATAAAATGTTTAACTTAAGTTAGCATACACTGGAAGAATAGTTTCTAAGTAAGCTAAGATATAACTTACGCATGTCTAACTCGTAGCCTATGCCTACCTACAAAAGCTAGCCTACAGTAATTGTCAACAATCTTACTTAGGTAATGCCTCTCGTAAATTTAGGTCTAAGTTTGGATAAGGGCGCTAGACCTACTGTATCATATTGCATCTGTCCTCTTCATCGCAGTTGTGGGGACCGGAGAATTGTCACTTCTTTCTAGTATCCCCATTATACCCATATGTGGTTAATTGTGGGGAGCGAGCTGGCGTAGTGGTTAGAGCGCGGGACTTCAGTCCCTGAGGTCCCGGGTTCGATCCCCGCCAAGTCACCAATGGATTTTATCTAAGTGATAATGCCGTAACCCCTAGGTCTAGCCTGAAGTAATGTGAAAAACAATCCCAGGCTCGTGCCTAGCGTCCTAAGGACAAAAAAAAAAAAAAAAAAAAAAAATATGTGGTTAATTGTTGTGATCTTCATCGAATTCTTTGATAGTGTTATGGTTTTTGAAAAAGATACTTTTTAGTGCCTAGGCTGGGTGAATATTTTGTTTTACTGTATTTATTTTTTGAGATGTTGTGGCAGTAGCCTAGGCCTAAATTTTAGAGTTTTGCTCCCATTGCGGTGGGTGTTCTTTGATAGCTTTGTTTAACTTAGTCAGTTTTGTTCCGGGTGTTATAATTTGATCTTGATCTGATGTGATTGTGGCATTTTTGTAGATGCTTTCAAGCAGATTCTGTTTTCAAATTTATGGTGTCAAATATGTATTGAGAGGTTAGGGTTAGGATTTGGTGGTTAACTTATGAAAAGGGGCTTGCAGTGTTCAAGGTAGTGGGATTAGTTTATGTCCTGGCTGCTTTCTTTTGAATGACTTTGTAGGCCTACCTGTACTTCTTTTAGTTGGCTTTCGCTGCCGGCCCCTGGGAATTTTAGATGCAAAACAAAGATGGCAAGGTAGCTTAGGCCATCTTGGTAGTTTATTCTTGGTGAAGAAGTAATGTAAAATAGCCTATACATGTTTTTATAGCCTAGAATACATCTCGTTTTTGCAGTATTTTAGCCTATCTTATAAGTAATTTTATTCATTAATGCCTTTCCGTTGTTCTAAAGTTCTGTAAGCTGCTACCGTATTCTAAATTAGCATAGAGGTCCTAATTTTGTATAAACTGCCTATAAATACGTTGAGAATAGTTAAGCTTAGAATAACTTACCCTTATAATTTTTTATATGAGAATGAGAATGTTTCAAGCTAACACCTATAAGTTACAATAAGGAAAAAGGTAGGCAACATACCTACATACACATAAAAAGTTAGTTTAAGGTTAAATAGGCAGCCTACTCTAAGTAATTTTATGTTTGATAACTAAGTTAGTTTTTTCCAGGTCGCCTTAACAAGTTACTATGATACAAATGAAGGTGAGGGCAATGATGATGTACAAGTGGTGGGGGGTGATGATTTCATTGAGGAAGTAACACCTCCCTCCCCTCCAGTGGCAACAGGCAGGGTTGTGGAACCAGAATCTGCAAAACCAAAACCCCGAGTTGGCGGTGTGAGGTTAGAAATATTGCTATCAATAATGATAACTTAATTGTTTATACAGATTATTTGGCTATCAGATTATTTAGTCTGTTGGGTGATGTTTCCAGCGCTAGGCTTCATTATTTATTCAATCAGTGTAATTGTGACATGTAGGCCTAACGTTTGAACTCATCCCGGGCTTTTGACCGACAGGTCTGTCTTGTTGCATTTATCAGTTTGGACAAAAACAAATAACTATTGGAAATTCCAAAAATTTCTGTGCCGATTAAAAACTAAAACCTATTCTGCTTAAATTATCTGTCCAAAAACCAATAACTTTAGCCTACTCATCATATAATAAAAGACACCTATACAGTAAATAAAAGAATGTAGAAGGAAATTTCATATTTGGTTAAAATTATAACCGGTAGCCTACCTTGAATGTGTTCCTGGTGAAGAATACCATAGACAAACACTTTTCAATAGTGTTAAGAATATTCAGGCCTATCTTATAGGCCTACTTAGGCCTACTAATAGGCTAAGTTTGAATGTGTCCCACTATGTATATTTCTTGTAGACTGATTATTGGCCGTAGGCCTAACCTAAAATAAAAATTGGATGTTGTTTATAGAAATATAGTATCTCTTTCCTATTCTTAACTTTTCATTGAAAATAGGTTGGCCTACATTTTTTTTAGTGAAGAAATAAAATAGGTAGGTAGGTAACAAGAAGACTTGGACATGGACTCAAATATCCGTCCAAAAATTAACCAAGGCATGTGTGTGTTCTGGTTTTGCTCAGCAGAAACATGGTACGGTAACCAAAAGTTAATCCTAGTCTATTCTTAACATTCATTAAACTATATAAGTTACTATATTTTTTTACGTCATATTTTACAGTAGTCGAGTAGCCACTCTTAGCAGTCTCCAGGCTGCAGCCGCTGGGGGAGCTAGTTCTGATGAGGAGGAGGGGCAAGCGTTCTACGCTGGCGGCTCTGAGCACAGCGGACAACAAGTGCTAGGTCCGGGGAAGAAGAAGAAAGATATTGTTGCAGAAATGTTTAAGTCCGTTCAGGAGTGAGTGAAACTCAAATTACTATATTATTACCGGTAACTAGTCCTTAAAAAATATTAAAAGTTAAGTTATGCTAACCACTTAAAAGTGCTGTTTGTTTTGAGAATTAGTAAAGTTTTCTGATTGCTAACTTTTTTTTATTTGTTTGTTAAGCCTAGGCCTATATTCCTTTGTCATTTTTACCTTTTTTTTAATAGAACATCAATACCATGGTTTGGTTATTTAACATCAACCTTTTCTTAGACCATCTTTATAATGAATTGAAAGCTCAATTACAAATGGCATATGGGTCCAGAGCAATCTTACTTGGAATTGAACCATCTTTTTGAAATTTTTATGTTTAATGATGATTTTAAAAACCATAAAATAATGGAAAGATGAGATTTTAACAAAAACAGCTCAAACAATTTTGACTTGGCCTGCAACAAATGAACCACCTTTTTCAAAAGTGATTTTTCTATTATTATCAGACATGGAGCTGAAGTAGTAGATCCAAGTGCTGGAAGTAGCAAGAGACCCAGCACCTTTCACGGCACTGGGTATCGTCTGGGACAGTCTTCCAATGACACTGAAGGTACTGTTGGTGAAATAATCTTCAATAATTTATACAATCAATAGGTTAAATTACCTTGTTTATTACCAAAGATGTAACATAGAACACGGGCCTAGGGTTTTAAGATTTGTTGTGACTACCATTCATACTGGCTAAAAACACCTACTTATGGTCGCCATTTCATCGAAAAGTATTAAAGTATTAAAAAGAAACAAAGCAATCAATAGGCTACCAACTTAGGGGAGAAGAAATATCTTTCAAATATACCCATCTTTCAGATATTCTTCAAGTGAGTACATCCCTACCATAACGGGTTATTCACTGTTTTTAGGTCATCAAAGACCAGTTGGTTTATATTGTCGGGTAGTTGAGGTTGAAAGCAAAATTAAATTCACTAGATGTAGGTCTAATATGTTTTTAATGTGTTGAATTAACACACTCCGTCCATATTACATGTGTTGTTCTAAACATTCTTATTTATTGTCACAGTGGTAGCCTTACCTTCAGGACGGAAAGAGTCTCACACAGAAGTGACGCTGAAACTGTGGAAGGAAGGATTCAGTGTAGACGACGGACCTATCAGAGAATACGCAGATCCGGCCAATAGGGAGTTTCTGGACTATGTCAGGAGAGGGTGAGTGAGATATTACAGGAGACTTAGGCTAATTCTTCTTTAAGAATACCTTGTTAAACAGGAGCACTTATTATTGTTGTCAATGTTGGTAGAATTTTTCACAGGAGTTATTATGTACGCTAACGTTTTTTAGGGTAAGCGGTACTAACATATATTTTTTATGATGTGCCAGGAATCAAACCCATCCCTCCTAAGCCAAAGTCTGAGACACTAATCAACACACCCTATTAGAATTAGGTAGTCTAATAGTTGAAATTTCCACGGTTAATTAACTTTTAATTTATTGCTGCTCAGTTCAATAAACAAAAGTATATGAATAAAAAGACAACATGGAAAGAATCAGCACTTTCAGAACAATTAAGATACAAATAACAAATCATATGCTTATGTAGGATCTTGTGTACGAGACAAGTACGGGATTGAGACCCCTAGCTGTGTGGAATTGTGAAATAAAGTCCATTTGATATATTTACCACAATTCAATATTAAAAGCTTCACCTCAGAAAGCCAATGGGGCAGAATCCTGTATCAGGATCAAAGTGGGAGTAGTTTCAATTTTTTCCGTGGTATAGTAGCTATATTTTTGTATATTTTAAGAACAGTCTGTTCTGTAAGTTTTACATGAATGAGTAAAAGACACACATGTACACACAAATAACAGACAGACAGCATTAGATTTGTAGTAGAACCCTCATATCCAACCTTGACATAACCCACTCCTCGAGATATCCTGCCTTAGGTCTCATACACATCTCTAGAACGTGCGAGGGTCTCACTTTTTAAGCCGAGCCATGCCTCGCCTATGCTCAGCAAAAGAGACCAATGAAAACAAAAACACTTACTGAGAGTACTTAGTTAACAATTATAAACCTTAAAATTTTTATTAGTATTACAAGGTGTTAGCCCGTCCTACGTACGGGAATTCAGTAGTCAGTTAAAACCGTGTACAATTCAGATCAGCTAGTTTACACATATAAAGACAAAGTTTCTTGCAGTTTTAATGTGAAAAATCATCTTGTAAACAAATGTTGTGTGACCAAACATGTTTTTATTCCATCATAGGCCTATACTATATGCATTTTAAATCCGATAATTTTACAATAAAACAGCAATTCTGCAATTTTTACGATGTGAAAAGCGTTGAAGTGAGATTTGCAGCCGATTCGCACAGACACTACTGTGCTGTGAGGCTACTTATAATCATTCATGATTATAAGTAGCCTACAATAGAGAGAGTAATAGTCAATTGAGAAGTGTATAGACCTAGTCACGATACCACCTTCCATCGCATACTATCACCTGCCTCTTCCATAATTATTATCACCACAATACAAATACTCATACTATACACAATTTCCAGTAGGTCTGAATAGAAACGACCTAAAATAAAACGATAATATCCAATAAAATTCACAGTACACATAATTTAACTTTGGTACCCTAACATCAAAACTAATCGTCACACCTATCCTTTATATAAATTTCACTGCATTAATTGCTAAATAAATAAGCGTAAACAAAGAAAAGTAAAAACAATAACAGTTTGTTATGAAACAGCTGTTTGGTTCAAATAACATTTATTTGAAAAAAAGAACTGGTTACAAGGACGTAATTGTCAATGTTTATTATCCATACCGTTATCAGTTCTATCCTTGATAATTACCCACCCTCATTGAATAAATGTACATCGTAATTTCCCATATTAGTTAATTTAAACTACAATATATTCATAGTTGAAATAAAAGTGATATTTTCACGTTTGGGGGCGTTGATATAGGCGCCCCCAAACGTAACCACAACTGAACACGATTTCATAAAAGGATGGTTTGTCTAATTGCAGTATCCTATATAGGTCAATGTTGACGTTGTGTTCAATCTATGTCATCCATCTGTTTATCTTTGTATAAAACCCGGCTGAGGTTGTGGTGGTAATTTAAAATCGTGATTCCTGATTATTCTTGATCTTCTTTTTATGACATCAATATTTCCGGGCCTAATCCAAACAAAGTTAAAGCAGACAAACATTATTGTAAGCAAAAATCTACCATGAAGAATTAAAACATGTAAACATTTTTATTTTTCTAATCTTTCCTTGAAAAGTGTAGCAGTAAAATAATTTGCATTTATCCTTTTTTATTAAGATTCGTGTACAGAGCCTCGATTTGTACTGTGGTTTAATTAATTTTGGTTAAAACTGTGGTCTAATTATCTCTACATGACCAAGACTTACTTATTTACTAATCTTACTTATTTCCTATAATCAATTACAAAATAAGAGTAAATAAAAAAACCTCATAGTTCCATAGTTTATATTTAACCAGCTGTTAGTTAAAACAAATCGATTTGTAAATAAAATGAATTCACAATTTATTTACAACTGCAAACAGTTCTAGTTTGTGCTAAAAACACTCAAGTTGTATCGGTATGTATTTAATTGGTCTTTGTGTTTTGTTTTGAGTAAGATTCAATTTTAATATTTTTAACCAAACTCCTCTGACATAAATCAATAATTAAAACTATGTAGGATGGAAATAACAACATTGTATCATCATAGGTGAATTATATTTGTCAATATTTGTAAAATACATAAATCAATACTCTTAGAGTACAAGTAGTAGTAAAATATCCCTTATAATATTGTAGGCTTGTCGAAGTAATGGTTTGTACAATTCAATAACCTTATTAGTTCATAAAAACCATAAACTAAAGTCTTTTTTTTATCAAATAAATCTTTCACTCATGAATTTAGATATCAACAAGCTTGACATTTTAGAATTACATTGGAATAACTATATAACGCTAGTTTCTTTAATAATTTTGGAATAGAAATACATTTTTGTGTTTCTTAATTTTCTTTTCTTTAAGCTGTGTTGCATGATAGAACTATTGCTATGATTTGTATTATGCATTTTGCTTCTAGCAGTTTAGTTCCCAAACCTATCATTATTGTTTTTCAGAAAAAATATTTATAAGGATCGAGATTGTTACAATATTTTGTTACTTTTACTGTAATGTTTTTCCCTAACACTTGCAACACTTTAGCCTATGTAGTGTTGTCTACTTGCGGCAGTGACATACACCATCGCGACACCGGCCGCCACGGAAGCCTCTGTTGAGAGTGATGCAGTGTGCAGCACAAGCAGCATGGTTAAGAGAGTTGCCGTTGAACGAGAAACTGAGCAGGTCGCAAGTGGCTCTGGGGAGACGAACTCCGGCCATGTCTAAAAAATGGAAATAGTTTACAATTTAATTATAAATTCAATATTATGTGGTAATACAGGATTTTCATGAAATAATGGTGGAATTTAGTAATGAAATGAAAAAAAAAACTAGAAAAGATTAAAAAAACATTTATTTTATTGAATTCCTGACATCAAAAAGATTTTATACATAGCAAATAAGCTTCAACATGACAACCATGTCTTGCCCTACAGACGTCCAGACGATGATCTAATTCAGCCTACACATGCAAATTTCTCTTGTTATAATGGAGACTGCGTCTCTGGTTCTTTCTAGGAAATGGGCTTAATTCCGTTATAGTCATTGACTTTAGTTTACTTAGTTACACAATTAGCCTTTTCTTGGCGGAAAACATCTTTATAGGAAAATTCAACTTGAAGTTTATTTAAAAGAATAAATTATCGATTAGCACAGCAGTTAACACAGCTGTTTCGAGTTTTGATTAATGTAAACAAAACTGTTTGAGCTTCAGAGTAGCAGAGGTATCAATATGAAATATTTAATTTGTATTATAATAGTTTTACAGATAGTTAAAACCCCACCATTATTTTATGAAACCCATGTATATAAATTGTACGTTGCCATTTATTTACGGACAAATCTGAAAGGCAATAAATAAATAAATTAATGTTTGATTTAATGGCAGTTTTAAAAATCCTCAAACAAGCGGCAAGGAGTTTGAAGAGTTTCGACAAATTAGTATTTTTTGCTACCTTAAACTTTATGATTATATCATTTAATACAGACAACTTGAAATTAGTTGTGAAGTTTTACATCTGTAAATTACACCAAAATAGCCATGGGAAATGCCTTTGCTACGTTTTAGCTTATCTGGTCCAAACTGTAATAAATGTTATAATAGTTGGAATCCAGCAATATAAAAATAAACTACTTCTTGATGTTTCATCTATAGTCGTGAAAAAGTTAACGTGGACCCAGGGGTTGGGCTCGTGCCGCTATTGTTTACAGGATTGGCAGCTGCTTCCATATTACTGCTGCTTGGCTGAACTCACACTTAAAGGGACTAGGAGTCCAATAATGAAAAGTCCCATATACCAATTGCCAATTTTATACAAAATAGTTTTATAATACTCCTAATAAATTCTACATTTTTTCTCAGTTTGGAAACTAATATTAACCTTTGTTTTTAACATTGAGATTCAATATATTATTAAAACAATTTAAAATCTATTGTTAATTATATTTTATACAGTTTTGTAAGTTTTACTAATTTCTAAAAGGGAAACAAACGTTAACTAAGCAATTAAAATATAATCAGCATTTTACTACTCTAACACTTACCCTCTATAAAAATTGAACAATGCAGTACGGTATTGTAGTTTCTTAAAAAGGTCTGATTATTTGATATCAAGTTTCACACACATCGGTCAACATTTGCAATAAGTAAAAAAAAAATAAGTGAACGTTGACCAATTTGTTTAAAATTTGGTAGCCTATGTAATTCAAAGAAAATGTTAAGTGAAACACAATATGGCATTGTGTTATTTATATACGTTTTATAAAAGAAATCTCTTATTATTAGGTTCCCTAGCACCCTGCATTGTGAGTTAAGTCAAGACAAGTAGTAAGGGACTAGCTTTCATCCGGTAACCAGTAGTCAGATTAGAACTTCTTTGGATCCTTATTATCTTTTTCATTATACGAAGTTTTATTAATGATAAGATTTAAATATGAAGCAGACTTTAAAATTAATTAGACTTGAATTATTTGATGATTTAAAAATACAAATATGTTGAGTTAGTAATCAAACACATTAGAGTAGAGTAGAGCAATACAAACTGCATGTTTTAATTTTGTCATAAATGAAATATCTATTGGCTTTTTTTTTTTAAGAAAACTAAATATATGTGTACTTAATTTTCATAAAAATAATTTCAACTTGTTTATATGTAGCCTATGTAAGAAAATTTCAAGTTAAAAAATGATGTTACCCCACTGTCTAAAGTTAGTACAGGTTGGATAGAATATATGTTTCTTGGTCTTGTTGTAAAACAAATTATTTTCTAATGCCTAAAAGTTTAGCTGGTATGAATCTGCTGAGATAATATAATCTATTATTGATAGTTAATTTCTTAAGGCTTTTCAAATAAAAAAAACCAACCATTTAAAAGGATATTCTATTTTATTCAAATGTCATTGTTGATAACAACTAATTAATTGTAGTACTGTTCTATAGTGCTTTATCCTAGTAAATCTTTTTCCCATATACCAATTGCTAATTTTATACAAAATAGTTTTATAATACCCCTAATAAATTTTACATTTTTTTCTCAGTTTGGAAACTAATATTAACCTTTGTTTTTAACGTTGAGATTCAATATATTATTAAAACAATTTAAAATCTATTGTTAATTATATTTTATAAACACTAACTAAGCAATTAAAATATAATCAACATTTTACTACTCTAACACTTACCATCTTCACTGTAATAATTGTATGTAGGCACTGCCAGTACAGTTGTAGCCAATAGCAGGCAGAGGCAGACAGAGAGAGAGGGAGACATGTTGAACAGCTGGTTGCAGGTCACTGACAGCTGATCTATGGTCAGCTGATTATATATTCTCCCTCCCTCCATCTAGCAGATCTCTGTACTGTACAGCACTTTGATGGGTTTTGCCCAGTGGGCATTACAGTAACTGGCTTGACCCCTAGAGATCTAGATTCCTGTACTCTACTATTTTTTCTTAACTTCTTATGAAGCTCAGTAAAATCTAAAGATAGTTTATTTATAAAAAAAAGTAGCAAGATAACAAAAGTAAACATATAGGCTAAAGAAAAAACTTCAATAATAAAGTAAAAACCTCTGACGATGTAATCAAAACAACTTGGAGTTTAATTAACAGTGAAGTTGGTGTTAGGCCTACTGCTATAGATCATGTCCTAAAAATTGAACTAACAAATAAATCAGGAAAACTGGTAGAACCGTTGGAAGTATCTAATATTTTTAATGACTTTTTTATTAATGCTGTTGAAAGTCACATTTATCCCAAAACATGATTTATTCAACTTCCACTTCTTTTTCTGACAGTACTTTCAAGTTCATGACAGTGACTGAAGATGAAACACTTAGAGTAATTTCAAGTAGGCCAAATAAAACATCTTCAGGATTTGATGAGGTCCCAATGTCGTTAAAATCAATCAAACATGAAATTTCAAAACCGTTAATAATTCTAAATAGTAAATTCTTCTTTAATCTGCAGTATATTTCCCAAACAAATTTAAAATAGCAAAAGTTATTCCAATTTTTTTTTAAAGGGTTAGAAACCAATCCTCTCAATTACCGTACAGTTTCCCTATTATCAAATTTTTCTACACAATGTTTGAAAAAGTTGTGTACGACAATAGTAGATTTTTTACAGAAAAATAAATTATTTGATGATGATCAGCATGGGTTTAGAGCTGGAAGGTCAACGACAACCGCTAGTGTAGATTTTGTGACATAAATAATTGAAAGTATTGTAAAAAAATAATAAAACTTTGGGTATCTTTCTAGATCTTAATTGCGCTTTTGATAGTGTGAATCATTCAGAATTAATAAGAACATTGCAATCCTTAGGAATAAAAAATCGCCAGATGGAATGGTTTAAATCATGTCTTAATGATAGGAAACAATGTACTGTCACAAAAGGGCTTAGTACAAAAAATGTTTTACAATTTCATAATTCAACAATACAATCTATCAAGTACTGTAATAACATTAGTATATGTTTTGTTTGTAGAGAGGTTCCCAGAGAGCTGCTACAGAATGTCAGTGGTGGAGAGGTCCATCTCAACATGGAGGACCACAGACATGAGGACTACACTCAACCCAAGTCTAGGGTGAAGGCATTCAGCGGCAAGGGTCAACTGCTGGGCAGGTAACACACATAGACATTCTATCCAATGCTCAATTGCCTCCGATTAGTGAGTTGATGGCTCAGTCGGTAGCACGGCAGACTACGAATCCATGGCAGCAATGTCATGGGTTCGGATTCTAGTAGGCCTACCTTGCACTTCTTTTTATCAATACAGTTACACTATACTTCTCTCTACTTCAGTCACATGTACCTACTCACCCCTTGCTTTGCTATATACGCACAGGTCCGCCTGTGTGGACAAAGTTGAAATTGCTGTTTCCGATAAATATTTTAACCAAGCCAAAATGACTGAAAAAACATCATATAGCTATAGCACCGCTCATGTTATATAAACTAGCCTATTACAGGACTAAGAGAGAAAATAAAAAACTTATCTGTAACTCAATCTTGTGAGTGGCTCATTCAGCTGTTCTTTTTGAAAAAAAATAGGCTACTGCCATAAAGTAAGGACGTCTATTTCAGTATTCAAGCAAATTAAATCATAATAATTAATTATTAAACCTGTAATTTGAATGACACTACTGTATTAGAATTTTGTAATATTTACTCCTACATAACGCTCATGTTACAGCCCGTCGCCCACGACTGTAGGTACGACTAAGCCGCTAGATGAGAAGGACAAGCTGGCCAATGAGAAGGAAGCAGCTGCTACAGTAGCCTTGGACCAGGCGGCACCGACCACCTCAGTACAGATACGCCTGGCCGATGGCTCACGCCTGGTGGCCACCTTCAACCACACTCACACTGTCGCCGACATAAGGCGGTACATTGCTACGTATCCTTACTCACTGATGTTGTTTTGATTATAAGTGTGTAATGTCTAGGTTTGAGCTTTGAGCCAAACTTTAACTAAGCTTTAGCTGAACCGATTTCTACACTCCATGGACCAGGCCATGGTTAGAACGGCCAAAAAGTCAGATATTAAGAGAAATCTTTTTACAAATTGGAAAAACTGGGAGCTATGTATGAACTGTGAAATTTAATCAGGAAAACATGATTTTTGTGTCATTTTGTTGTATTGGATTTAGAACGAATTTATAAGAATTTCACCTCCAGCTAAGTATTGTATTTGCTTGCATAAACACTTACTAAATTGTTTGAGTTTTTTTTGTTGTTGTAAAAATCTGTTTTTTCCGGTATTTTATAAAAATCCCATAATAATAAAAACTCTTGGAGATATCCTAGATTAGTAGGTATCCTTATACCAGGGCTAGAGATATACAAGGGCTGGCCCACTCCTCTGATGTTAGCGGCTGCTGCCCGATCCTACTTCCCCTCTCCCGCCCCTCCTCAGTGACGTAGCGCTGGTACATCGGCGCGTGGCAGGCGCGATGGCAGCGCAGCAAAGCAGTGCATACTGCGTTAATGTCACCCGGCATCTATTCGCATCTTAATAATTGTGTTTAATATATCATTGAGTCTTTTAATTAATATAACAGATATTATTTCATTAGATATATTTTAATTTTTTATAATTTTTATTAGATTTAAAATGTGATTTTTAAAGTGGGTTTCGTTAATATGGTAGCCTGTAGTGTAGCTGCATTACATGTAAAAACGACCCAAGAAATACTGAAAATGTTATTTACCACGTGTTCCCGAGAAATACGTCACTAAGGGCTGCTTGGCTTGAAATATAAAGGAGCCGATAACTTTTAGTAGGTATATGTTTTCTTACACCAAAACCTTTTGTAGATTATTCATTCTTAAATATAACACAAGATATGTAAGTACAGCAAAAAAATTTAAAACAAAGGCCAATTACATTGTTTTTTTCTGTTTATTTATGGTTGCGAAATGATAATATAGTTCGGCCGCTTAGAAAGCGACCTCCTCCAGCATTGGTTTAGCATTAGCGCGCAGGTCATTTTCTAAGCGGCCGAACTATAGTATATAATTATCATATATAATTAATTGTAAAATTTATTATTAAAAAACTTTAAACCAAAGGCTAGTTACATTTCTTTTTTTCTGTTTATTTATGCTATTACCCACGCTTCACCCCGTTTGACTTCATAAGTATCAATAAAACTACTGGGCGAACCCACGATGTTATTATTATTAATTTCTTGTTTATTTTGTTAACACTTCTTTGTTTATTTTGTTGAATAATGTCATCATTGAACCACCACAGGTGAAGTGTTGAGATCTGTATATGTAATGTTTTTTGTCTGTATTATTGCATCACCTTAACTTTGTGATCCTTAACCAATTCACAGTGCTCGTCCACAATATGAACATCAGTCTTTCACTCTACTGACTACGTTTCCCAATAAAGAACTGACCCAGGACTCACAAACACTAGCAGACGCTGGTCTTCTCAACGCAGCAATCCTGCAGAGGCTTACATGATCATTTCAATTTAATCCCCATTCTTGCTACTTTAAGGAGGCGAGTTTTCTACTAGTTAAAGACAAACCAAATAATTTGCTGATTCTGGAAAAACTCTAGTTCCTCCCGCTAATGTATTTTTTTAATTTGGAATCGGAAACTTTGCATTTTTCTTTACTTTACACTGTTGTATTTCTGTGTACTAAAAAGTTATGTAAATACATAATTGTTATAAATGATATTTGTTTTGAGTCTTTCAATAAAATCCTGGAGTTGAGCTAGTTTCTTCCTAACCATTAGTTCTAAAATATTGTACAACTCTGAAGTCAGCATTTTAAAATCAATTTCCATACACATAATAGGTTTGATATTTTCACAAATCGATAAGACAGTATTGTAGTACATTAGTCCATCAATGATGCAACTTATACAAAAATACATACCATACAATAAATTGATAATACCTCTAATATATGAGTTGGATTGAGGGTAAAAAGAAACAAAATTATAGAGCAATTTTTATTTTTAACTACAACAGTACTATTCCAACATAATAAACACTACAGTTACACTAAAATACTTGTTGAATTTCTGTGATTTGTGCTCTCTGAATTTGTAAATATTTGAGCAAAACTTCTATAAATAACAACTATGTATACAATGTAAATAGTAAAAGGCATTATGAACAATCACAAGCTTAAAACTATCACAAGATTGTAGATGTTTAAAGGGGTTATTTAACTAAACTAGTACTACATATCAGTGGAATGCAATGATATCTCTAGGGTAGTAAGAGAGATTATTGATATTTACAGAAAAAATATTTTAAAAACATAACATATTAATACTGTACAGTTCTTAAATCATGTGAAACTTTAAATATTATGTTTTTACCCAAGTATACAATTTTATAGTTTAAGAGATTCATCATACTTTTTTATATACAAAAGTCATTAAAAGTATACACTGAGTAAAAGTAAAAGTATACTGAGTAAAAGGTATACATTATTCTCTTCTAGGTTGAAACATATGTTTCTACGATAAAACATTATACATTCTCAAAATAAATTGCTTTGCTAGATTTGGTTTCAAACTTATTGCTTTGCTAGATTTGGTTTCAAACTTAATATTTTTAGATTAGGTAATCTAAATACCCCCGCCGCAGCAAACCTGCAGACTAAGCGAATTTCCATTTACCTGGCTGGATTTCTACTAAAATATTCCCTAAAAATTGCCAGATTGATTTCCTATTTAAAAAAAAAAACATTAATTTTAGTGAGTACTTAGGTTTGCTGTTACAGGGAAAATAATAAGGTGTGTTTTTTATTGCAAAGTTGATAGCTTAGTATGAAATAAACAAAATTTCCAAATTTGGGTTGAAATATATCCATAAACAAGGAAACTACAACAGTTTATTTATTCTTCATAAGAATAACATGGGAATTTTAAATATACAATTTTTTAAATTAGGCTATCTCCGTAACCGCTGGGCATACATCAACGCTTCAATATACAAAACTATTTCTTTTTTTAAGCTTTACAAAATGGTTTGGAGAGAAATTATGAAATTTTGTGATTTTAGGGTCAAACATGGGAAAAAACAATTTTTACCCCATAAACCGTTCCCATAGTCCGATTATGCTGGTTCGCGAACTCGTTTGAATAAAATTAGGTCTGCACGTTTGTACCAAATTTCATCAAAATCGGATCATTTTTCGAATCGATATATTGTACGTTTGGTCTTTTGACGCAAACCCCCCAAATCCCTTTTTCAAGGAGGGGGCAAAAATTTTAATCTGGCCCCGGGCATCTATTACCCTCGGGGCGGCCCTGGCCCAACGTTTACCACTCAACCTTATGTTAACAACACTGGTTATTCTGATAAATCAAATAGTAATCAAATAATAATAATAAAAATTTTGCTGTTGGAAGTCTATAACCATGAATCAGCTAGCACCTACTTTAAGGCTAGGCCTACCGTTTATAATCATTCATTTAATAGTTATTTATTTTACATTGAAGTTTCTGCCACAAATAGATGTTTTAATTTGAGGTTACTCCAAACAAATCCAATGCTCACTTAACAATCAGAAACATCACTTATCCAAACAAATAATTCATTTTCATTTAGTACAGTAGCCTATTTTATATCAAATCAAATCAATCTTTATTCATAAAAAGGTATAAAACGTTTCCTTTAGGGCATACTCATTAAAGGTCTTTTACTTTATTAACTTACCGTAGTAATAATAATAAAGTTTTATTTAAAACTACGCTACTCTACGTTTAAGAAGTATAGAAGGGACATACACTACCGATATAAAAATGTCATAATGCTTAATGTACAAAGCTTTTAAAGCAAGAATATAGTATTAGTTATGTGGTATAAGAGAGCTTAATATAGGTGGGAAAGTTGTAAAAGTCAAATTTGAATCAGAAGCAGCTTAAAAAGTTACCTACTTAATAAAAAAAAAAAAAAAACTTAACTAGGTATCAGAAAAACTATTTGTGCTGCCATGATATGTGCTTTTCCCACCTTAATTAATTCTATGGTTTCAATCATGTGTGCAGGCATAAGTTAACGACTGGAAGACAAGATTAAACATATTGATAATGTATCCTACTACAATATAGAAGTGATATTTAACTTACCTACACTTACATAATGTATTGCACTACTTACACATGGCTATCAATTCTTAATCTAAGACACGTTATAGCCTAAATTATCATAGATCAGTTTTTAAGGAACACTTTCATTTCATTTCAATTTTCTAATCCTTGCATTCCAGTCAGTTTTAGGCCAGTTCCTACTAAGGTAATGATATTGGCTGAGGAAATTTAAAACTACAGTAATTCTTAACATAGAAAATCTATCACAGCATCAACAGGTGATTTAGACATGAAACATTTCAACATAGAAGATAAATAATAAACTTAGACGTGACTAACTGAAGTTTGAATACAAAAAGTTAATCTGAAACTAAATAACAAATCAGGTGTAATTTATGTGTTATATTTGAAGAACTTTCATCTGGAAATAGTTTGCATAAAACCATTTAGCGGCTATTTAAGACAAATTATTATAGCTCCAGTTTATTTTCTACTGTTAGAATCCTTGAAAGAATAGGTTATACCGTAATGATTAAACCACAGTGTAAGTTTAAACTAGGTTAAGTTATCATTCTTTGTAACTTCCTCGCTTTAAATAATAAAACAAAATTTTTACTAGCATTTTATGTTTTATGATGTTAAACAAAAATAGGCTATAATAAAATATTTACCTGAATAAAGCCTACTCTACTTTTACCTAAGTTATAGCGTATGAATGGTAGTGCCAAAATTAAGTAATATCGTTAGATGTAAAAGTGTTCGAGGACATATTTTATATAATAACTTAGCCTATGGGTAAGTTTTATTTTGAATTTCTCATTAGACGCAATTCTGCTTATGTATATATAGGCTAAATAAGATTAATAACCCCCCCCCCCTCCTCTCTACATATAAAAAAGGGTACTTTCCTGTTAGAGGGAACATTCATTATTAACGATTATTTATGTTCGATACATTGATATTTTATTTTTGTATATATATTAATATTAACAAATTGAAACTTATCAGCTGACAACTACGATAAATAAATATTGTTCAGCATCAACAAACAATAAGAAAAATGGTACTTTCCTGTTATTTGGTACCTGCGAAAAAAATTCTTTAACCACAAGTACAACTTGGTCGATCCGGAGTCCGGAGCACATACTACCGTTTAGGTTAGGTTTGGTTAGGTTAGGTTTGTTTACTTACAATACTCATGTTATTGATAAACTAACCTAACCAAAAGTACAACTTCGTCGATCCAGAGTCCCGAGCACATACTCAGACCGTCGAACGCATGTGGGGGTCGAAGCACTGTTAGAAGTAATTCGTTACTTCTGGCCCCCCGAAACTCAGATGTAATCATTGTTTGTTGTTTTTGTTTGGTTAATAAACGCAGGTACCAGATAACAGGAAAGTACCAGAAAAATATATTGAAATGAAACTGTTCTAAACTAACCTAACTAACCAAACTTCCTGTAACATTTCAAAATTCCGTTTAATAGCATATTCCCCATATGCCCTTTCTGTTATCAAACGGAATTTTGAAACGGTAACTTAGCTTACAGAGTACCGGTACAGCAAGTTTAGTTACCGTAGTCTATGTTAGGGTAGTTTAGAATAGTCTAATTTCTTAATCCAATATATAGGTAGGCAATTATTTTTGCCTAAACTAGATTAGTTCTTAATCCTATTCTCTAATAAGAGCTATAACTCAATAACTCGGCGTTTGAACCAAGTATAGGCCTAACTTAAACATAGGCCTATTTACTATGTCTGTTTGTCTGTAATTTAAATGTGTTTGAAGATATTAAAACAGATGGAATATGGATCGTAATGGAAATCAAAAGTAGGCCTATCAATATATCAAAAAGAAATCATTGATAATAATGAATGTTCCCCTTAACAGGAAAGTACCTAAAAAAGTAAAGAAAAATAATCAGATTGAGCAACCCTGGTAGCTCAATAGACTACAGATGATGGGTTACGTTAAATATAAGTTGAAATACTTGAAATTTGTATCAGACTTAACAAATCATATCAAATCACTGTTTTGGCTCTTGGTCAATAACTTATGTACATTTCCTGTTTAAGGCTTTTGCTGGATAAAAACCGTTTAAGTCTTTCATGAAAAATTAAAGTAGCCTAACTTATTAAAATCCTGTAACAAATTCACATTTTCTGACTTTCGTTTAGCAGAGAGCCTGACTTCCACAGTTTAATTAGTGTACTTGTAATCATACTACCCAAAAATCTAGCCATGATTGGATCATATTTAGTAATTGTTTTTAACCCGCTAAGTCTGCATGGCCTATAAATATGTACTGCACCTGTGGATGACGGCATTTTGTAGTTGCTGGGTTCAATGCCGACAACTGGATACTCAACTACCAATTGCCTCTTCACTTTAATGCTCATTAACTGAGTTTTCCGTAACGCAACAGGCCAATTCTTTTCAGCGCGCCTATCATCCTTCAAATCAGTACAACAAATAAATGACTCGAATTCAAACTGTACTGGTATTTTTTTGCTTGGAGTAGCTTCTTGCAACATTTCTTTTATTGAATGATGAAGTTTAGGTACAATGTACTCATCCCAATTAAGGACAACCACCGTTTCAACTTGACCAGAAGTCCTTGCAATGCAATCCATTTCCAACACTGTGGCTTCAACATCTAGATCACTGAACGGAAAGTTCCAATTAAGAATTGATAGTGATTCACTGAATCCTTTTGTCCCTGATAATGTTTGCAGAACTGACAAGATCTTGTATTGTAGACCATTATCATATGTAATGAAATCTGTGACACCAACAGCTTGATGATAACTAATAAACTCAACAATGGTTGATTTTGATGCACCACTAATATCAGCACGGACACATGCTGCCACTTTACCAAGTCGGCTTTGATCTGAGATTTCGGTTTTGAATATTGGTAAAAATGTTTTGGTTTGTGTTGTATCTCTTTTGTAAATCAACACCCATCCATAAGGCAATCCCTTGGATAAGGTCTCCACTGGCTCGCAGAACAATTCATAAATATTTACAGGGTGTTGCTCCTTACTTTCATTGTAAAATTTTGGTACATTTATTAAGGAGTATCCAAATTTACCCATGACTGAACTTAGATAATCTCCTTGATCAAACCATATGTGGCATTCAAAATTTATGAAAGCGGATGGGGGGCCAACTGCTAGAGCTCTGACATGTAATTTTTCTCCCTCGTTTTCCCAAAATGAAGAATAGACAAAATGCTGTTGAACTTTGGTCCAAGACGGCTTGGGCTGAGAAAACAAATACTTGTTTCTTTCTTTTTGCATGTATGTATCATTCAGAAGTAAACAGTCCTCTCCACCTCCTTGTGGACTACCAAAGTAATTCAAAACTTCCAAAACGTACCTCAGCTTCAAATATTCACGTCTGTAAACTAATAAAGTCGATAGGCTTATAATTGTTATAACAAATAACAGAAGCTGGTGGTATTTTCTCATTTTAAAAATAGTTTTCAGAGAAAGATACATTGCTCAGAAATCCCAAAACCAACCTGAAACGTAACTCATTGTTGACCAGCCTAGCCTAACTTTTTAACTTTTATAACACGTATATAACTATTTCAAAGGTTTAAATGATTTAATCTTCATATGAAATAAATAATTCCTAACTTGTTTAAATTCTTCTAAAGAGTGGATAAAATACCGAACACAACCTAAATGTTTTACAGTATTATTATTAAGCACTAGCAGAACACATATTGATAAATAACTTAGCCGATGCCGATATAACGATTTTTTTGCCATAGAGTAGTGTTTTTTTTAGGAACTTTTGGCTGGTATTACGAGCATCACACAAATTTAAATGCTTTTTAATCAATGCTACATCAAATGTAACGAAATAAATAAAATTTACTTTACATCATACTACCATAGATAAAACATACTTTGGTTAGTCTATGATACTACACAGAAACAGGTACTTTTCCATCCGTATTGGTAGGCTGTAAAGTTGTTCTTCACACTGCCTAAACACGGAAAAGTAGGTAACGTTATGTAATACCGTGCACTTAGTTAACTGATGAAATAGACAGCTAACTGCAACGGCCTATTTTCTTTTCTGTAATATAAAAATATGATAATATATGAAATGAAATGAAATATATATGTTATATTATAATATATGTTATGTCATAAATACAAATTGTGTTATGTGTTTAAAATGTACTAATTATTCTGTGTATTATGATGTAAAGTATCGTACGTTACTCACCTTTAACGTTCTCGCACGGAAATCCCGCACAAATAGACTTCCACCCCCTTTGTTAATATTGAAGCTCGTTTTTCGTGTCTAGTTTATGTCCGGTGACATGGTGTCGGCGAAATTTTGTTTCTATTATTTTAGAGTTGTTTTCATGATTTTGTGTGCTTTACTATTTGGTTATATAACTAGAAGATGCGTTATTGTTTATGATTATATCATTTTATTTGGTTAAACGGAGTTAAATGACAGAAATAACATGAAACAAATTGTAAACAAAACATGACATCTACAGTACACCGGAGAGAACTAACGATATCATAAATCATATATCATTGACTTCAGCTGTTTTATGAGGATTTTATTGTTAAAAGAATCCTTATAAATTCCACAAGCATTTTATACTTCCATAAGGAAGCCAATTTTATTGTTAGTTCTGTCCGGTGTACTGTAGAGTCGTTTTTTGTTTACAATTCGTTTCTTGCTATTTCAGTAATTTGAAACCTCGTTTAACCAAATAAAACTATCTAAACTATAAACTATCAAGTGGTGTTTTTGTTTATAGCTCACAAACCGTAAACATTGTCCGTTTTTGATGGGACGAAAACGGAAGTGTGTATTAAATCAAAGTCATTAATGTAAATGACTTAATTTATACATCCGATTTAAAATTTGTTAATGATAATTAGTGATGTGCGATACGTATCGTATCGTATCGGAATATCGCGATACGCGAGGGACGATACGATATTTGAAAAACGATACTTATCGTATCGCCTAAAACAATACCTATTTGTATTTATATCGGCACAAAGAGCGATACAATTCATGTCAAAACGATATTTTTAAGCTTTTTTTGCGCAGGCCCCCGCAGGCCGAGCAAACTGCAAAATCTGTACTCTGTGGATGTGTAGTTTGAAATAGGAGTTTTTGACGTCTGTATTTTTGGCTTTTACTTGAGTCCAGTCCATTTCCACTAACGTGCTATCTAGCACTAGTAGTGCAGAGTGTGGGAACTGTCTGTGGCAATTACATTAATGTATCTGCAATCCTAAAATGCTATCGGAAGGATAGGGAAACAGGTCCAAGACGTAGGGAGTTGTGAAGGAAGTAGTAAAGGCGAGCAGTGTGGAGATTTTCCCCGAGCAAAGCTTGGTCCCCAGGTACTTATATAAATTTGCCGTTTCTAGGTTAGGTAGGGGAGGAGGGAAACGATACGATACGTATCGTTTTTCGATATTTTTGACGATACAATTCGCGTATCGCGATACAGACGCCCGATTCATACAGCGATACGATATTTTTTTCCGATACGTATCGTATCGCTGTATCGCGATACGCGTCCGTATCGCCCATCACTAATGATAATTATTGAACTAGAGCGTTCAGGGAAGTGTCGCTAATCGGATTATAAAGGGTCGTGCGGGAACAGCCGGTAACGACCCTCCCGGTCAGTTTGGGCTGCCTCAACTCCTCAACTTAGGGTGGCGAGACCTATAGCATCAAGTGAACATGGAGTGGAGAGTAGGACTTGCTCCTGTCAAACCTGCCCTGTGAGCTCAAGAAGAAAGAGTGTGGCAGCTGGCAGCAAACACAGTTATTCTTGTGTTAACTGTTATAGAGTTGGGGTATTGAGGTTCTGTTCTAGAGCTAAAATAATCAGAAAAATCGTTTACAAATAGTAACCCTACTTATAATGGAGATAAGAACAAAACTACCTTTGTGAATAGGGAAAGGCCTGCATAATTTTATAGTTTTAATGCCATATATTACACTTGTTACCTATAAATTTTCAACTCATCCCTGATTTTTAACTACCCCCAATGGCTATGCTGATGTTTTCAGCTATTCTTCTAAGGACATGCTGCTGTTACTTACCCTTTAGCTTTAGTTACCTATTAAAAGTAGGAATCTCTACTGTCAGAACTACTTCTTCCTTATCATTTTCCACTTCCTTGCTGTCAACAGTTGGGACCAGAGTGAATAAAAGACACATTTATATAAACAGTTCTTTATTCACAATTTTAACAGTTTTAACATGGCACTTAGATATGCTAATCTCAGATAAGATCAACCAATGCTGCCTATAATGAAAGTATTTTTAGTTAAAGAGGTTGTATAGAAGTAAAGAAAATATTAAACTCAAGTGTCATACATTTTATTTTTTTCAGAAAGCATAAGTGTAAAAATACTAAGATCCTCTTTTTTAACAAACTTTTGTTTAATAGCAACATTCCTTCTTTTTAAGAAGTAGAATCCTTCCTTTTGTCTTTTTTATTAAAGTTTACGGTAAAAAGGAAGTGGACGGTTTTAAACTGAGTAATAGTGGTTTATGGGCTATGGAGTCATGTTTACTGGAAGCTAGGATATAAATACAGTATGAATATAGACCATTTGATTACTCAACAGGAGGTATAGAACGGATTTTCCTAGTTGCCGAGTTTGGCTGCTGAATGCCTGTTTTTCAGCATCAACTAATCACAAACAACAGTTAGATTCAGTAATTACTATCCGCCCAATCCAGCAGAGGTTGTACACTGAAAACCCAGGCACTAAAACAATCCCAAGACGTTCACAACCCTGTAGCCAAATTAGGCAGTTGGGAAACCCGCCTTAAAAAAGGCACTAGAGTATGGTAAATGTATTGGCTGAGTTTTGGCAGTGGTTGTATATTATTGTTCCATTGTTATGTATTATAGAAAAGGATTTTTTACTAAATACACCATAAACTAACTGTTGTTAGAACTCTTAGGGAGATGAAAAAATGTAAAAATTAAATTACTTGGATATTAAATAAAGCACTCCTACATTCTGCTATTTCTGGTATGGGTTATAACTGACTATTGATGGATCCAGAATCCAAAAGTCAATGGTTAACATTTACCCAAAAAATTTACTTGCTATTCTATATCAATTCATCCAAGGCGTTAAAACTCTATGGAATTTTTAGAAGTAAAAAATTGTTCAATAATAAAACCAAAGATTACACATGCTATGCAAAATGTGTAGCCTAGTATGGCATTGTTTAATCTTTGGTAAAGCCCCCCATATACGGGCAAATATGTTTGCGAGCATGTTCGTGACGGTGTTGGCGGCGAACATGCTCGCCCGTGTTGGCTAGCGTGTTGTGCTCGACCGTCTGTTGGAAACGCCGAGCATGTTTGTGAGCGTTTCCGCCAACAGGCTCGCAAACATCATGCTCGCCCGTGTATGGGGGGCTTTTGACTGTAAGAATTCAACAATTGAAACTTATGTTTTCCTTGATTGCAGTTGAATTTGTACAGTCTTCTTTGAAAGTCTTATGGATTTAGTATTGAATTATCACTCTAAATGTGGACAATATTAGTTTTTTGTCATTACTCATTATAATGCTTAGTTACCATATAAATATTATTATAGGATTGAATCATAACATGGTAACCAAAAGTATTGCAAATTTCACCTACTGGTGCTTACTAAAAATGACCTAACGTGTACAATTGTTATTGTAATTAATTAACAATAATATAACTTCAAACAAAGTTTATAACTTTGGTTGCTAAAATCAAGAATTCTCTTCTTAAGAGAAATTATAAACACTACGAATCTAACCATCAGTTATCACTATAGAGTTTATAACTCAATTTAAAACTGGTATATTAGGTATTGGAAGATCTTCTTGACTTAAACTCAAATTAAGTCTTTATCCAAAGTTTTAATTTTATGTACAATGTGGTTTGGTTTTCAAACTCAGGGTTACTTTTTAACAAATTTTGAATTCCATTTTTTTCCCTTGTTTTATTAGATCTTAAGTACACTTTCAGAAAGTGGGTACATACATTTAATTGGTATATAAATATGTATTATTGCTCTTGTTTTACTAAAGATATTTTATCAAACCATCCATCTGATCACCTCAGAACTTTGAGAATTTGTTTCAAGTAACCTTAAAACACAAATTTTGGAGTGAAAACGGCGTTTTCCCCAAAAGTACCAGAGGAAAAAGTGCTTAGAATTGCCTAATTTAGCTAAATAAACAAATATTTTATAAAAATCATACGAGTAGTTTTTTTTAGTTCATAATTTTACCTTTTTTATTTCTGGGGGCAGCTTAAATGGTTGAGATTGGCAGCTGATGCAGTAAAGATAGACTGTTTAAAGCTTGAGGTTATTCATACATTGTTTCATGTAAGCATCAAGTGTTGAGTAGTCGACTAACGTGTCCCTGACCAACTCTCGCAGAATTGTCGGCCATTGTTGATCCAACATCCGCAGTTTGACAATTGCCGAGCAGGCCTGGTCTAGAAGAGTTCCCAGATAATTTTTACCTTTGTGTCTCCATAACATGTCCTCCTAAAAACAAATGCAAGGTTAGTAATTTTTAAATGAAGAAAGAACTGTCAGCTTTAGGTGTCCTGATAAAGTAGTGATAAGTGTTTCTGTTTGTCTTCTTTGGGTACTATGTTCTTCCTAGGGTAAGCTAGCTGCTAAGAAATCACTATCCTGACCTAGAGTTTTCCTAAAAAATTATAACCTTAATAAAACCCACTTTAAAATATACTGGTACTACTGGTAAGGCTATATATATACCTGGGTAAAAATATTTTGTAACTTATTGTATTAACTTGGACTGCTTTCATAGCTATGAAAGCCAGTTGAGCCTCCGCAATCATGTTTTATGATTTTTAATAAAGCAACAGATTTTTATAGATATAATACAAAATACAAATGTTCCCACACTCTGCACTGCTAGCCTTTACTACTTCCTTCACCACTTCCTACGTCGTGGACCTGTTCCCCTCCCTCCTTAGCATTTTAAGATTGCAGATACATTAATCTAACTGCCACAGACAGTTCCCACACACCACACTGCTGGCCTTTGCTCTACTTCCTTCACCACTTCCTACGTTGTTGACCTGTTCCCCTCCCTCCTTAGCATTTTAAGATTGCAGACACATTAATCTAACTGCCACAGACAGTTCCCACACACCGCACTGCTGGCCTTTGCTCTACTTCCTTCACCACTTCCTACGTTGTTGACCTGTTTCCTTTCCTTCCCATAGCATTTTAGTATTTTAGATACGTTAATCTAACTGCAATAAAGCGTTCCCACACTAATTATCTAACTTCCACGCCATAAACGTTTCCCACACTCCGCATGTCTCGCCTTTACTACTTACTTCACCACTTCCTACGACGTGGACCTGTTTAAATTTGCCATTTATGAGAGGATCCATGAATGTGATTCACCGACGAATTGTTTAAGATAAAATGTTATTTGTTATTATAACCTTATTTAGCTACGTAAATCAAATCTGTTAATGTACCTAAGAAAGTATGTTTCATCTATGACTGTACCTATTCGATCAAAGTTCGTTTCCAAATTGCGACTTAAATGTAAATCTAAGACTTTCTCTGTGGTATTTGATCAGTTGTCATCATCCAAATGTTTTTTGTTTAGTGTGTTTAGGTTGTGGCTTGATTTTAAAGCCCCCCATACACGGGCGAGCATGCTCGTGACGGTGTTGGTGACGAACATGCTCGCCCGTGTGTGGGATCCGTCACGGCGAGCATGTTGGGCTCGGCGCTCGGCTCGTTGGACCTGGCGAGCCTGAACACGAACATGCTCGCAAACATGCTCGCCCGTCTGTGGGGACGACCAATATGTTCGAGAGCATGTTCGTCGCTCCAACTAGGGTAAAGATAGGATAAATGATTCACGTTATCTACAGTTGAGATAAAAAAAAACCAAACCAAAAATAAATTTTGGTGCCAACTGTCAATTCTGATGGGAATTATTTTTGTGATTGACTTCGTCAGCTGTGAAATGCAATCCTAAAACCATAAAATAATACTCAGTTTGACTAACAAAAATATTGTAAATAAGCTTAGTTTTAAAAAATGACACAGTTTATCCAGCTATATGCTGGTCAAGAACACAGCCTTAGTAATAAGGGAATACCTGTGAAAGGTTGGTCCTACGCCACTGCAATGCCTCCTTAGCCACTACAGTCCGCAGCGCCGGGTCTGCAGCCCACAGCCAGTGTCTGGCACTCTGCTGCGTAGTCTCCAGCCGCAGTCTAGACAACAGAGGCTGCAGTAGACTGTCTGGCAGAGACCACAGTACCAGCTCACTGAGACCGTTGTACTCCTGGGTGGCCACTGATATGTCTTCCACCTTGATCTATCAACAAAGAAAACTGGATTAATTATGGTTCCGGACTAGATTTCAAGTTAGCTATTTGTTGATCCAAAATCATGAATTAATGCTCAATGATCATAAGTACAGTTTAGTCCAGTTTCAAATTGGAAAAAAGCAAGAACTCTCAGAACCTATCTCTCAACGTTCTTATTACTAGGTGACTATCAAGAAAGATGTATTCCTTTCAAAAGCTGTTTAAGTAGTTTGTTGCCAACTAGGCTAGGCCTATGTCTTTACTCCCTAGTACTGTTATATTATCCAAATACCACACAGCAGCAAACGAAAATGTCTCCTTAAAAATATCACATTAATTCCCTAAATAGAATTAGTTTAACGCAACTACTTAGGTTTGCTGTAACAGGGAGGGTATAAAAGTGGTTTTTCTTTTGTAAAATGTTAATAGTTAAGTAAGAAATGCATTCTCCAAATTGGATCGAAATATGTTCATAAACAAGCAAACTACAAAAGTTTACTTATTCTTGCTAAGAATATCATGGGAATTTTAAATTTAAAAATTTGTCCGTAACCATTAGGTGCATAATAACGCTACAATATACTAAATTATTTGTTTTTTAAGCTCTACAAAATAGTTTCAAACGAAATTCCATAATTTTATTTATGTTTTTAGGGTCAAAAATGAAAAAAACCCATTTTACTAAAAAAACCCCCATAAAATACCGATTCCCATATTCCATTAGAATAAATGTAGGTTTACTTGTTTATACCAAATTTCATCAAAATCGGATCATTTTGCTTAAGTTATCTTGCTAACCAACACACACACACACATACATATATATATATTATTAAGTAAATTAAAATACTTAAGTACCCTAATAACATTTTATTTATGAATGAATTTATATATATGAATTCGAACAAATGGTGTTTTTGGCCTCTAGGGACCTCAAAACAAAAAAGTAAATCGGTCCCGGGTCCAGTTCAACTTATACTAAAATAAAATAAATCATAAAATAAAAGCAATATTAATTTTTATAAAATAGTTACTTGTTTTGACTTTTTATAGTAATAAAACATTCCTCACACTGCTTACACTTAACAAAACATCTCAAATGTTATTAAAGTAATATTATTAAAATAATTAAAGTAATATTTACATTTAAAGAATTAATTAAATAAGAACGCCTTCACAACACGCTCCTGTATTGCGGGTATTGCATTGACTTTCTGCAGGCGTTTTTAATTTTTTTTTTATTTTTTTTATTCTCGTCTCGATAAAAATCTCGGCCAAAAAGAAATCTCGTCTCGTGTAACGAGATGTAAAATTTCCCGAAAATTTCACGAAATTTCGAGACTTGACCATCCCTAGTTTTTTGAGTAAAAAATGGGAAAAACCAATTTTCACCCCAAAACCCCCGTTCCCATAGTTTGATCATGCTGGTTTGCGAACTCGTTGGAATAAATGTAGGTTTACACGTTTCTACCGATTTTCATCAAAATTGGATCATTTTTGCTCGAGTTATCGTGCTAACTAACACATATAACTAATATATATATGAATTTGAACGGAGGGAATTTTTGGCTTCTGGGGAACTCAAAACGAAAAAGTAAATCTGTCCCGGGTCCAGGTCTTGCCGTGAGTACTACGGTAATAGCTTATTCCTTATATGGGAAATTCGCTAATATTCCCTATATGGGAAATTCGCTAAAATTAACTTTACCTCTTGATCATTGATCACGCGTAGACCCCAATGAGACAGTCGATAGATGGCATAGCTTCGCCATTCCTTGCCTGTGATCGGATTACCTTCCTCATTTATTGTGAGAGAAGTCAGTCCCTGTATATCTGCTAGTGCGTTCAGTTGGCCCATGCAGTGAATGTTGGTTTCCCGGAACGAATAGTGCTCAGCATTAGGAAACCTGTGAATTTATAGGTCACTAACTGAATAAGTAATTAGTAACTGTTGCGGTCTTCAGGGTAAAATCCTACAAAATTTAGTGTTTTGAGTACTGCTACAAGCAGTGGTGATGTGGGGTGGGATCGGCATTCCCGCTCACCTTTATATTGGTAGAGACCCATATTTTCCATGACCTTGGTGAGCATTCTTGTACTGAACAATTTACGACTAGGGCTACAAGAGGACAGATCATATTATAATCTGTACTGTAGTATTTGCCAATGCCAGTTTACCACCATGAGGAAGAAGCAAAAATAAATGTCAGCACAAAACATTATGGTAGCCAAGGTGCCTTGCTGAGAGGCTTTCAACAAGATGTGTCTAGTTCTCTGTCAGTGCAAGCTTAGGGCACAGGCCTACACTCTTCGCACCTGCTATATCTCATCATGACTTGCTGAGATTGTACTACTAGCATCAAGTGAAATGACAAGATTTTAACCTGAAGATCATGATAGTTTTCAAGTATGGACATGGAAGCCTTAATATTAGTGAATTAAACAATGTCTCTTAAATTTGAGTCAACCACACAAAATTGATTACTGTTTATTGAAAAATGTAGGACACGTTCCAGTCAAAATAAACCCCAAAGAGTGGCAGCAATTAGATGAGCAAGGGGCAAGTGTCCCTCTACTTTTAGGATGTATCGATTAATAATGTATATAAATATAATGCAATATAAATTAATTTAATGTTTACTAATATAACCAAACTCCTTAATGTGGTTTATGGCCTATGTGGTTTTTGACATTACATATAATATTCAACTACTGTCGCCACTGACCATAATACAGTAATTAAATAGCTATATGGTGTTTAATGATATCATTGATCCCTTAATGATGTTCATAAATTTATAAAACATTTAGATGTATTTTAATGGTTTTATTTAAGAAAGTTTATAACAGGAAAACACCATTGATAGTTTGTGGATAAAAACAGTTTGTAGTTTACCTCTGCTTGAGTCGCCCCAGTACACAGCTGAGGCTGTTGAAGTTGACGTAGTTGAACCTAACGTGAGTGACGTCACCCGCTTTCACCGGGTTCCACGGACGATCAATAAACCTCAATGCTCCTTGACCATACACGTTGAGGTAGCGGCCACTAATCTCAACCAAGTAGTCGCCACCTGGTTACACAGGTTACTGTATTGGATGAGGCAAAACTTATGTGTCTATCTTGAACAGATTCTAAAAGACCCTTTCTGTACTGTAATATGGGTACTACTTTATAACACGTACTCTAAGGGCACGACTTGTTTGTGCGTGTACCCTCCACCGCCTCCTTAGCCAGGAGGGCCCCCCACCACAGCCCGGCGCTTGGCGATCTGCTACTAGTCGCCCTAAAAAAGTTGTCTATACTACTTCTACTCCCAGCGGATGCGTAGGCGCCTGTTGGTCATGTAATTTCCCTCGCTACACTGTGAATGGTTTGCCTTTTTTACGGGCGGTTGCCATGATATTAATCTAAGTTAGCCTAAAAATGTTTAACCCACAGCTATTTTTTACAATCACTCAATAATTACTTAACCGCACTAATCAACTCCATAACACAGTCCAATAAACTCAGACTAACAGTTGATAGAACACAATAGAATACAATACTCTTCCGGTCATAAAATACTTTACATTAAGAGACCGACTTTCATTTCACCAACTTAGTCATATAAAATAAATAACTGCAAGCCATTAACCTTTTTACAGGGTGTTTGAAAAAACCGTCTGATATTTTAAGGTGTTATTTATTGTACATGATATGAAAATAAGCAAAAGGTTTCCATAATTACATAAACTCAGTTAACTGTTTACACCTAATAAGTCAAGCTTTTCAATTAAATTGGAATATACTACAATTTTATCGTTTGGTGTACATTTTAATAAGTAAAAACATAGTTATCAAAATCAATTACTACCAAAACAATAATATAGAACCCTCAGAAATTATATTGTATGGTAAATACTTGAATTAAATTCAAATTAAAATTTTTTTAAATGTACACATAAAAGTAAAAAAAACTCAAACAGCTCTGGTCGAATGTTTTTAGAAAGCGTAGTCCGACCATATGCTACAGAAACTTTGGCTGCAGTGGGAGATTGGTGCCGCTCTCCCCGCACACACCGCTGGCAAACAAGTTGTACGCTTACAGTATGTGAAAATACTTTTTTTTTAATATGTCTGGTTTCCCAAACCTAACCTAACCTAACCTAACAAAGCTAAATTATTTTGTTATTTATTTAGTACTGTAGTGAGTTTATCAGTGATCTGTCACTACTAACCTTGTTCTCGCACTTTCCCAGGGTTGGGAGGAGGTTTTGGTTTTGGCCGGGAACCGGTTGTTCTCTGAGTTAATATCTGCTTTCTCTGAGAAACACTGCTACTTCTGGACCCCTTCTTGCTCGAGGCACCTATAAAATGCATTTGTGTGAGACAAAAAAAAACTATTTAATTACAAACCTTTCTATAGGATTTAGTTACATTAGATATTCACAAATTTTACAATTTTCCTAAATTCAATGAAACTGTAAATATGATGCGTCAAAGCTAAAAGATATACTATATTTAATTTATATACACTCTATTTTAAAAGATTATACAAGAAGTTGAACTCAGGTAGGAATACAAAAGTGAAGCCACCATGTCTTTTCCAGCCCGTAGCAAAGTGAATCACCTTTGCCACTATCATCATTCCTCTTCACCTTCCAGCAACCATTGTAACTCATCTGTGCCATTGTCACCTCTCCTTTCTGCCACTGGCTCTGCACTGGATAAAATCTCCCCTGCCTTTCTCCCCTCCTTTCTGCTGCAGTGTGACTCACCTTTGCCAGTGTCACTTTCACTAGTGCTCTCGTCAGGTAGTGAGCTGAGAGAGCTGTCTGCCACTGGATAAACTCTCCCATGCCTTTCTCTCCTCCTTATTTCTGCTGCAGTGTGACTCACCTTTGCCAGTGTCACTTTCACTAGTGCTCTCGTCAGGTAGTGAGCTGAGAGAGCTGTCTGCCACTGGATAAACTCTCCCATGCCTTTCTCTCCTCCTTATTTCTGCTGCAGTGTGACTCACCTTTGCCAGTGTCACTTTCACTAGTGCTCTCGTCAGGTAGTGAGCTGAGAGAGCTGTCTGCCACTGGATAAACTCTCCCATGCCTTTCTCTCCTCCTTATTTCTGCTGCAGTGTGACTCACCTTTGCCAGTGTCACTTTCACTAGTGCTCTCGTCAGGTAGTGAGCTGAGAGAGCTGTCTGCCACTGGATAAACTCTCCCATGCCTTTCTCTCCTCCTTATTTCTGCTGCAGTGTGACTCACCTTTGCCAGTGTCACTTTCACTAGTGCTCTCGTCAGGTAGTGAGCTGAGAGAGCTGTCTGCCACTGGATAAACTCTCCCATGCCTTTCTCTCCTCCTTATTTCTGCTGCAGTGTGACTCACCTTTGCCAGTGTCACTTTCACTAGTGCTCTCGTCAGGTAGTGAGCTGAGAGAGCTGTCTGCCACTGGATAAACTCTCCCATGCCTTTCTCTCCTCCTTATTTCTGCTGCAGTGTGACTCACCTTTGCCAGTGTCACTTTCACTAGTGCTCTCGTCAGGTAGTGAGCTGAGAGAGCTGTCTGCCACTGGATAAACTCTCCCATGCCTCTCTCCCCTCCTTTCTGCTGCAGTGTGACTCACCTTTGCCAGTGTCACTTTCACTAGTGCTCTCGTCAGGTAGTGAGCTCAGAGAGCTGTCTACCACTGGCTCTACACTGGATAAACTCTCCCCTGCCTTTCTCTCCTCCTTTCTGCTGCAGTGTGACTCACCTTTGCCAGTGTCACTTTCACTAGTGCTCTCGTCAGGTAGTGAGCTGAGAGAGCTGTCTGCCACTGGCTCTACACTGGACACACTCTCTCCTGCCTCTCTATCCTCCTTTCTGCTGCAGTGTGACTCACCTTTGCCAGTGTCACTTTCACTAGTGCTCTCGTCAGGTAGTGAGCTCAGAGAGCTGTCTACCACTGGCTCTACACTGGATAAACTCTCCCCTGCCTTTCTCTCCTCCTTTCTGCTGCAGTGTGACTCACCTTTGCCAGTGTCACTTTCACTAGTGCTCTCGTCAGGTAGTGAGCTGAGAGAGCTGTCTGCCACTGGCTCTACACTGGATAAACTCTCCCCTGCCTCTCTCTCCCCTTTCTGCTGCAGTGTGACTCACCTTTGCCAGTGTCACTTTCGCTCTCGTCAGGTAGTGAGCTGAGAGAGCTGTCTACCACTGGCTCTGCACTGGATACACTCTCCCCCGCCTCTCTCTCCTCCTTTCTGCTGCAGTGTGACTCACCTTTGCCAGTGTCACTTTCACTAGTGCTCTCGTCAGGTAGTGAGCTGAGAGAGCTGTCTGCCACTGGCTCTACACTGGACACACTCTCCCCCGCCTCTCTCTCCCCTTTCTGCAGCAGAGGTGCCAGGATCGGTGGCAGCCTGAAGAACTCAACAGGTTCAGTGTGTGACGGTGGTAGAGGCTCTGCTTCTTGTACCTGCGTGTTGATTATTGTTTGTTAGGAGTATTGTTTACAATAGACGATTTTGTTCTTTTCAATTCTCTGCATACATTAATGTGTTTTCTGATTGGTTAAATGATGTGGATGTTTTATTAACCAACTAAAGGCAATTTAAAGATTTAAATTATCTTTCTTGAAACATGGATCTTTACAGGTAGGATCCTAATTTAAATTATATAATTTTGAGGTTACCACTATATTTCTTGTATTAGCACATCCACATATGCCTCTATAGGTTATAGCATGTGCTCATGGAACGTATTGAGCACAGATAAATAATTTCTTATGCTATCTATTTAAAAAGCATTTTCTACCATAAAACAAACTACCAATTTTGAAAGAAATAAGTAAAATTTACTTGAATATTGTAAAAACGTGTGGAGCATTATTTGAGTAAAGTCTCAAACAAACCTTCAGTGCACATGCATAAACCATATAGGCTTTGATTTTTAAATTCAAATTAATAATATCTTAAGAGGAGCGCCAGCATAGCATTGCATAGCATAGCAGACTGCTGGTTGCAGCCTGCTACCAGCCCCGTGCCGCGCCGGACCAAATCAGTATTATGATAGCGCTATCTAAATGTCAATCGTGTATTCGTACCGTATTAATGTTTTCTGTGTTCGTGTTCGTGTTTTAAATGTGTTTTTGACGAGTTGCAAGCTTTGATAATGTTGTCTTCGCAACGAAACATGTAAGCTGTTGAGCAATACCATTTTTGGACTATTTGACTGAGGTATGTAAAAAACCTATTATTGTCTTAACAATATAGTCCAGGGGCCGAAAACATGAATTTTGACATGAACTAGACACGAAAAACATGCTTCAAAATTTACAATGGGATGAGAAGGCTACTTGTGTTGGTTAATCTATGGTAATACATAAAAAAAGAAAAAAAAACAGTAGCTCATGTTATACAGTTTTGTGAACTGAGTTATACAGAATTAATTATATGAGATGAAATGCCCTAATAGTTAAATACCTTTACCATTCATGAAATCAAATCCAAACCCAACAATGCAATAGTGCTTCCGCAAAAGGGAAATCAACCCATGCTCAATTCAGCGTTGTGATCAATCTTACCTGTTGTGAATTGTGAACTACTAACCATTCTCTACCATCATGCCCACGGCCTTTTAGCGATGGATGGTATGAAAAAAATGACAATGAGATGATTCAATTCCGAGCAAGCGAGAACGTTCCACGAGCAACCAACCGCAATACAAACCTGACTATGATTTTTCCTTTTAGAGAATATGTTTCGTTTGGCTCTCTGCGGTAATTGTACAGCTTTGCCGGACAAAGGTAACGATTGATTTAAAGGAATTATCTCTTCAAAACGCAGCTCTCTAAGGGAAGAACTTAGCTGAGACTTTGCCACCTCAGAGCATTTCAAAGTCTCCCATTTCTCACGAGCATTGGTGATAGCTTCTTCTCTTTCTATGGTTTTCTCTCTGTTTGCTTTCCAAACCATTGCTGCTTTTCGCACCTGTTCAGTCACCTGATTGGACAGGATTCGGATTAATTTTTTTTTACTTTCCTTTCTTTCATCTAATATTCATTCTCTGGTCGGTTTTGACATTTTCCATGCGATTTAGTTTCACAGTGTTCTTTGTGCGTGTAAATTTTCTTAAAAGATTATTTACATTTTATATATTTGGTAAATAAATAAACTCATGATTTAATGGCATGCTAGATTACATTTGTTAAATTTACTATCGTTCTATGTGTTTATTATTGACCAGGAACAATTTTTATGCTGTTTTAGATTTTAAAATCTGTATCATTGAACCTTATTTTTATTTTATTTTTTTTTTCAATCAATCTAAATGCTTTTTATTCTTGAGCGCTTAACGGTGCAAAACTGGTTTATCAACACGAGAAATACAAAACAAACTATATACATGGACAAGTGGTATTTGTATTTATTTTAGGTTTTTGTTATTAAAGACTTTAAATTTCAAGCAATTCATTTAGATGGCTTGCAAGACAGTTGTTTTACCATTCATTACTTGATTTAATTCTCAACTGACATAATATTTGTATGTTACATCATTGTAGTTTTTTGTGCTGAAGAACTGTAAATGTTATGAATTGCTCATTTGACAATACAGAATGTAAATGTTTTACCAATTCCTCTAAAACAAAAACTACTTGTTTAATTATCAGTGCTATAAAAGCCATGCATGTTATTGTGTACAACACTTAAGCAACAATATATACTGTGAAACAAATTTAGGAACACTTAAAATTACAAAATAATACTACTCGTCAAATTTACAAATCTTGGGTCCACTGCAGCCTCAGTATTTCTTGCAGTTATCTTCTTACCTTAACCTCGGTTAGTCATATTCCTTATTGAGGATAACCAAGGTAAGTAATTCGTCTATTTTAGAGAAATTAACACGTAACAAAAAGTCTCATTAATTAATAATTTCAACAACATAGATTATCACTTCTTTACTTCACCTAAATGATTCTAACCTTAAGTAATTTGAATTTGAAGTAGGCTACTGCCTTGTCTGCCTTACAAAAAATACTGGACACAAGAACTAAGACTACCTTGGAAGTTGTTTTAGATATGGCAATTTTTCCTGTGAAGTTTTAAAACCAATTAAGTTTGGATATGATCAAGTAAACAATAATATTCCCCTCTATATTAACCCTCCGAGGGTCACGCGTCAAAAAATAGACGCACAACACACTTTGTGTAGGGTCACGCGTCGAGTTTAAGACGCACAAACATCGTTTACGGCGAAGGCTCTATGACTGACTGAATCGGATTGAACTGGATCGAGTTAGGTATCGTTCTTTCCGTAATATTCTAAGCTTTCTCCAGAAGTCTGTCTCTAAGCGCTATTCATTTTAGTTCCGAAAATATTGTAGCAGACAGCTGACGTGCGTGTATTTGTAAACAGCTAGGTTCCCCCGGACCGATGACTGATGTGTTTTATTACGTTTATCATTTTTTTAGTGTTAAAAATCAAAAGTAGTGATATACGTGGTGCATTATAAGAAGATTTAAGTGGTTTTGAAGTGCTGGTTGATGATCCTGAAGAAGTAGGTAGTGATATTGATGTAAATTATCAGCCAGATTCCTAGCTATGGTTAGGCTATGCATTCTTAGCTAAACGCTATATACTGAAATCAGTTTTTTGCCCATAACTTATTTATTTGCAAATCTACTTCCTTATATTATTATATATTTGTAATCCTCATAAAATTTAGAACAAAGTGGCTATTTTCAAATATTTATAGGCCTATAATTTATACAATTTCATTGAGCGCGAACTTATTTTTTTTTTTTAATTTTCAAAATTATATTTTTTTACCTAAAATTTTTTTTTTTGAAAAAATGTTCCTTATGTTTTATATATAATATTGAAGCCCATGATTTTCCAAACAAAATGGTATATAGAACATTAGAATTAACATTGTTTTAAGCTTCTCAGATCCGTTTTAATAAAATCTTGCAAATGCGCCAAAAATAGGTGGACATTAAGGCCTAAACTATGGACACTCGGAGGGTTAATTTGGTTGGTCAAACAAATCAACCATCAAACTCACATTTTTTATCAAAATGTTCTGATATACTAGAAACATAAATGTTTTTCAAGAAATGTAGTAGAAATGAAAGTAATTACCTGAACAGAACAAGACTTTAATTTACTGAAGAATGACACTAGGTACATGTTAGGAATTGTATACAAACAGTCAAATAATAAAAACATAAATAACATATGATTAACAATTTAAACATAAAGTAAAGAAGAAAAGGTAGAGTATAAAATATCACAACAAGAAATACTTGAAAAGTACACAAATTTTGTAAGTTACCTGTTGCGATACAGTTCTCTTCTTGCTGTAAGTGATTCTACGGGCCTCGGCCCTCTCTGGTAGATGGACTGCTCTTGCAGACAAGGGAAGTTGGTCCTCTGGAGCTATGATGTTCTCACTCCGCAGGTCTTTGAGCGAGGAACTGTGCTTACTTAGCAGCTGTTTGGTGGTCTGTGATCTGTAAATCAGATAAAGCGATAGTCCTCTACTCAGCCACAGATTCCTGTTCGCGCAGGGACTATGAAAAAAGGGTAGCAGAGAATGAGGTGAGGAGTAGACAAACTATGTGTTATCCAGCGTGCTTAAACAATCAGAAAGTTTCCAAGTGGGTTTTCGGATTAGCATAGGACCATAGCCTTCTCCAGTTTATTGTAGAGGCGACTAACAGGGGTTGGAAGATCCTTCTCTTCATGCCCCCAACTATCTCCGAGGCTAAGTTTCAGTTTCCTTCTATCTTTGGTGCTCAAAATATTTTGTATTTTCTTTTATTAATCTCTTTCAACCTCGTTTTGGGATGAGCAAGTTCCTGAAGCAATAAACAATTTCCAAGAGGAATAAGGTGTTGTTGTAACGTACATGTTGGTATACAGTCATACTACACAAAAATAGCTTATGGTTTATCGGTGCTTGATCATCAGATAGTTTAGAAGGTCAGTTGATCAAAACTCAATGTTCATGTTATTTGCTGCAGAATTACCTTCATACCTTACCTCAGCAGTTCCCAGTTCGTCCGAGCATTGCAAATCACCTCTTCTCTCTTGGTCTCCTCCTCCAGTGTGATGCCAGCGCTGAGGTGAGAGAACATAGCACTAGTCTGCTCCTTGTTCGCTCGCCAGGCCAATGCTGCCTTGCGCACCTGATCTGACACCTGTAGCCAAGTTTGCATCAACAAGATATTCAACAGTAAAAAGTGTGTTAAAGTGAGTTATTGTACCTTTTTTCCCCGTGGGCATGAGTTATGTAATGTTCTTAGAAATCTCTTTAAAATTCTACAAAACCAATTTTGTTAAATTTTGAATATGTAAAATTGCATCATGCCTTATACAAGCTGTGAGTAATGACAGAGATTGAGACAACTGTAGGACTTCAATCATCCAAACTCCAACAATCTGGATCAACTCAAGGAGAAAAAATCTGTCTAAAAAGTAAGTTCATTGCAGTTTGTAAAAGAAAATGACTTTTTTGTACCTTTTGAGTAAATAAAGTAGGTACCAGTACTGATTTATGATTGATTAAAGCCATATATTTAAAAAGCTTATTATGGGCCAATAGTTACTCACGGGTGGAAAGTATACTGGAAGAAGAATGGAGCACAATACAAGCTGGAGGAAATAAATTTGTAACAGCTATTAAAAGTAAAACAACGTGAGTTATGAACAAAGAGATCAGAGATGAGATTAGTTGAAGACAGCAAAGAGGAAAAGGAGGAGTTCCAATAGATGATTTGGTCATTCCATAATGAGATAATGATTTGGAGATAATTATGAGAAAAAAAGAGAATTTCTAAGAAAAGGATGGTGAAATTGTGAATGAGGGAAGGGGCCGGGAGAAACACCTAGAAGAAGTTGGATTGACGAGGTGAAAAAATAGGGTTGTAATGAAAAAAAAAAGGATTTTTTTAGAGGATGAGAAACCCTGTTGATACCAGGACCCAGGACTAACCAGACAGAAGAGGATGCATGTGCACACTGAACTTTGAATTACCTGAACTTGGCTGAGAAGCTCCAAGTTGGGGAGGTATGACACCAGGAATGACACACAGTCTCCAAGAAGAGCGATGGGGTTGCCATCTACACTGACCTCACGTATCTGGGCTGCCTTGACCACGCTGCTCATGTCCTCAATACTGGAAATAACCACATGTTTGGGACAAGCTGATCAATGTTCAAATAGAATAAAATAATTTATCAGCACAAAAAATAATACCAAATGCAACTTCATGGTGTCTTGTTAATTTATAAAATGCCCTAATCTACTTACATGGTTGTAGAACAATTAATACAATAAATACTGATGAGTTACACAGCAATACACTATACAATACGAATACACATAAAGGTACAGTGGTCAACCATTGTAACCCAAAAGGGATATGTCTGCTAAAAAGTCTGGGATGGATTAATACAATTTATCTAGGAGAATTTTATTGATTTTAAGTGTTTTTAAAACACTCACTATGCATGCTGAAGTTTAAGCCTGACAGAATGTTGTACTCTCCAAACAATTCATGGACCTACCACTTTACTACTATTTGAGATTGTATAACTTAACACGTTCGCTACTGCAATAGTACGAAATTTTCCATTCACATGGACCAGCGACGCACATATGCGACGGCCGGTTTCCACCCATGGACTGCCGTCGCATATATGCGACGGCTAGTCACATTAAAATAGACTGCCGACGCATATTTGCGTCGGGGTTCTAATGTTATTAAAATGCTTATATCTTTGTAGTGGTCTATTTGAAGGCACTGAATTCCCTGCAGTGGTCTACAGAGATGTCTGACGCACAACTGCGTCGCTTGGTCTGTGGATATGATGATTGGTGGCGTCATATAATAGTTGGAAAAACTGGTCTTTACTTTTCTGCATCACTGTATGTATGTATGCAGTATGTATGCTGCATTATCCTATGCAGCTTTTATATTTGTTCAGTTATAAACTGTTCTTGAATAATCTGTTTATTTCTTTACTTACTTTCACCTTAAAACACAAAAAAATGAACTGTCGCATATATGCGACGTTTAGTCTATTTCAAGAAAACTATGATAATTTTCATTATTGTCTTCGCTGTAGACCGGGCGTCGCAAATATGCGACATTACAAAAGGTTATAAAAAATACAAATAAACAAGAATAATTTATTTACAAACACCATTGTAGCGTATTACAATGTAAATGATCGCTGTTTTACAGGTTTTTGCCCGTGGTCTGTGTGTACTGTTATCCAAGTGACAGTCGGTCTATGTGTAAGATTCAAATGTATACCTCGGTCTGTGGCAATGACCGCGGCGTCGCATATATGCGACGCTCAGTAGCGAACGTGTTAATCCAAATATAAACATAAAGTAAAGATACATGTTGGGATAGGGAGCTACCGATCCCAACAGCTCGGTAAGTTTATACATGTTTAAGCTAAAGTAAAAAAGTTCCATGCGACTTACGATTGTATCTCATTGTTGCTCAAAAACAGTTTTTGCAGTTGAGGTGTTTCTCCGAAACACTGCAGCCGCTTGAGTCGGTTCCGACGTAGGTTCAGTTCCTGTAGTGAACTGAGACCTTGTAGATCTGCTACTCCTAGCGATCGAATCTGGTTACCGGCTAAGTTGAGCACTTTCAGTTCACAGAGGGAGGATAATCCTCCCACTTGTGATATCTGGTTGCCGTGCAAGTCTAGGACTTCCAACTTCATTAGATTCCGTAATCCTTCCATTCGTCTGATTCTAAAATCAATTAGATATTGTAAAACATTCCTGCTACAAATATCAACAATGTTTAAATCAATCAATCCTTTAAGACAGCAGCTCACTTGGGTGTGCATTTTATTAATATCAGCTGATTGGTTAGTTATTTATTATTTTCTGTTGTGAGTCAGTTGTACAATTTAATGTTTTGTTTACTGTTTGTACTTATTACAATGTTCAAATATATTTCTCTAAGGTTTAAAGTTGATTGAATTTAGACACAAGAGGTTTGAGAAATTGCAGTGCGCTGACGTTCTTCCAAACGTCTAACAGTGATTCGTCGACACTCCTGCTCAAGATGATCGGTTGTTCATTATTTTGCACGGTTATAGTAGCTGGATTACAGGACGACGCCACCCGTCCCAGTCTTATAGCTTTGACTGAGCTGTTTCTTACGCAATGATCATTATTATAAAAGCTCTATGTTCAATGATCATCAGGGACATCTAGGTCCAGTTATGAGTCGTAAAATTAACCAAATCAAGTAATCCTTTTCCTTAATCAAACTGTCTAGATTTTTAGTTTTAAACTAGCACTAAAACCAGCTATAGCAGCTTAATTAGCAGCTAGTAACCATTCTGCTTCAGGTACGGTTATAATTTTGAATTTATAAAACTTTGTTTTTCTATTGGAGAGTGTCATTGTTGGAATTTATTGGGAAAATTTCATCCATAAATTACAATACATTTTTCCTTTATGGCATATGTAGCAAAACTTAAAATCTTCTAGCGTTTGTATTTAAAAAACATCAAGCATGCACTGACATGAGCTTTAAAATTCTATTATTATTTAGTATTCTGTGTATGCTGCCTATTATATAGCTAAGTGAGTGTTGGTGCCTATTAAACAGAAAGGCTTCTGGTTGGATCAGCAATAGATAGGCCTCATCTCATCGATGTCTACACCAAATGTGTGAAAACAGGTCAACCTCATAAAACACAGTTTAAAAGCCTTACTAGATGTTATACCTATTCTTTCCCATAAGCAGAACTCGCAAGGTAGGTAAAGAGTCTAGGCCTGCGATCCTATCCAGCTGATTATCATAGACGTCAAGGAACACCAACTTTGAGAGTCCAATAGTAGAGATATTGTCGAGCCTAGTGATTAGATTGTGCTGCAGAGATAGGAGCTTCACTTGTGCATCTGCCGCAAGTACGGGTAACGACGTTAGTCCTCTCCTGTAATAAGAATGTTTCTTAGCAGTATAATGATGATTAATACAATGCTCATGGTAGAAATTATAAGCATGACTATGCTTAATTTATTGAGAGTGTTATGTGGACTGGGCAAGGAGACAAATGAAAATTTTTATTAACACGTTCGTAGCGGCATGGGAGTGATCGCTCCCACTCGGAACCCTAATGCCATCCTGGTGGGTGCGCTCGCTCCCAAGCTGCAATACGGCAAACGATGATTATTTTAAAGCCAGGATTAGAACTATAAATCTGAAACTTCCCACAGCACTGCTCATCCGTCAAGCCTTTATCGAGTTATGACTGTGAAAAGCAAACTGCTTGCGTATTAATATATAGATTAAAGAATTTTGTCAGCTGTTTCAACTGCACAAGTTGGTTCTATGGTATTAAATAGCATTAAAAAGTTATCAGGTTTACCAAAAGGGTGCAGCACTATTATTTTTTGCATTTATGACAACAGCTAATTTGAACCAACTAGCAACAAAAACCTGTGGTACACAATGAGAACCTTACTTTTTTCTATGATTTATGTGCAGTGGTAGAACATTAATTAGGGCTATGGTAGATATTTGCTATACTATGGCATACAGTATAAATTCCTTAAACTCCGTCCTTCAAAATTCGGGTCTGAGTGGTATTAGTCCTATATATTATCACCACCCCAAGTAGCATGTTTCCCACCAGAACTACCTATCCTCACTATAAAGTTATTTTAGCCTTTAGTATCAATTTAAGCTGTGTATAATGATTATAGTCATTTTACCCATATTTTGCAACAAGGTAAGGACAAAGAATGGAATATTGAGAGAACTCTTGATGGTTTAACTTATTGAAACTTGAAATGTTAGCAAGTATGAGTAGCAGTGCCGGATATACCACTAGGCCGCGGTCTAGGGTCGCAAGCAAAAGGGGGCCGCAGTGGATTAAAAACACGTTTTTAGATAAAATATTTGTTTAACCATCAGTTTGCTGCGGTGACGATAATGATGTCTCCGTGAATGCGGACCGAGGGAGATGTTCACGATTTCACCACAGCTGTGGGGGTCGATGATGAAAATTATGTCCCCATGTTTGCTCCCGCGGAAGATGTTCATGATTTCACCGTGGCCGCGAGTGTCGATAATGATGATGTCCCGTAATTGCTGACCACGGGAGATGTTCACGATTTAGCCACAGCCGCGAGTGTTGATGATGATGTCCCCATGATTGCAGCCCGTGGGAGATGTTTACGATTTTGCCATGGCCGCGAGTGTCGATGATGATGTCCCTGTGATTGCAGCCCGTGGGAGATCTTCACGATTTCACCGTGGTCGCGAGTGTCGAGTATGATGTTCCTTTGTTGCAGCCCGCAAGGGATGTTCATGATTTTGCCGCGGTCACGGATACCTATGATTGCTTTTTGACTTGATTTAAGAGAGATGCCCACGATTTCAACAACGATCATAGAAGTTGATGATGATGTCCCCTTTTGATGCATATTAGATATTCACAATTACTTCCGCGATCGCAAGGAATTTCCACCACAGGGGGAGGGGGAGGGCCGCTCAAGTAATTTGGCCTAGGGCCGCAAGTACCCTAAATCCGGCACTGATTAGTAGCCTTAGGGGATTTTGACAAGATGAATAGGTCTATGTGTTACCCTAACTCTTGATTATCTTGGATCAAAACTTAAAACTTAACTAACCAGGTTTCAAGCAAATTATAACTCTTGAATTCTTACCTATCTAAAGTAATTCGATCTTTATTGTTGTCTTTGATGTCTACTTCCCCAGTTAGTCCACAGACTCCACCACTGAAAAACTTTCTTAAAGTTAATTCAATCAAGTAATTACCAAGTGCTTCGTTATACAGGTACAGCATTTATTTAACAGGGTTATTCTAAGTTCAAGATTACTAATGGAAAGTAGTGATTGAATAACACAGTAAAAGTTAAACAGAAAAGCCCTAACACAGTAGATGAGATTTGAAATAAAATTTACTTGAATTTGCATTCTATAAACTATACCAACTAATAACTGTGGAATTTAGTTTGATAAATGGTGATTGGGAGGGCCTTTGCAGGGCCGTAGCCTCCCTCCTACTTTTTTAGATGGACATTGAATGGTCATTCATAAAGGTAACCCCAAGCCTTCTGGGTAGTTTTTGCCCTATCTGACTGTCAATTGTCGTCATTAATTTTTTAATTAATTCATTAAACAATTTATTCTACTTTATTTAGCTACAAAATGTACCATTGTTTAGATTGTTTCTCACAGCAATCTAATATGACTATGCTAATTTACAATGGAACAGGATGGTAAATTAGTTTTTTTTTTCTCAGAAACTAAAAATCAATATGTCAATGACCATTTTTTCATCAATGTATTACAAGAATTAAACATATGGATCAGTCATTTAGAATTTAAAATCATTTCACCTCAATGTAGTGTTAGAGCGCTGATGAAGCTTTGGAGGCTTTGGAACGGCCGGTAAGAGAGGCAAAACTGATGGAGCAACGGATAACAGCTTCTTGGTCTTGGGCACAGACACTCCCTCAGGTTTACCAGCATTGCTACTTTTCTCCTGGAATTTATTTAATATTGATTTTAGAAAGCTTAAACATTTAAACACTTTATTAAGGCACCCCCTTTTACTTTTTTCTTTACAAATGTTTTTATCGACTGAAAATTAAAGGTTGGCATAGAATGGAGTGAGATGTTGATGTTATGTAGGTATAGCTTTTGTTTGACTAAGAGGGCTGTTTTATTTTTTAAATATTAAAATAAGGTGTTTTACATTTTGAGCTTTTTAGGGACTACGCCCCTAGTTTTCATTAAAAGCCCAATTATCAATGCCATCTAGAGCTTGGTCCAGTTTCCAGCTATTATTGATTTTTATCATAGGATTAAACTGGGACTTAATTACTGTTATCCACGTGATATGTGGGTAGATTGTTTCTTTTCAAGGTTGTTTTTGCACCCTATTACAACCTCTGACACTCTCAAGAAGAAAGGGAAATAACATGATTAGATAAGGAGTTAATTATTATTCTTACAGTAACCCTTAACCCTTCTCAACATGTTAGTATACCATACCAATCATTCAACTCTCACTCTTCTAAATGAACACAGATACAGATCAAATATACAGTTAAAACATCATATCAAATAATACTTCTTAAGTCACTACTTAAGGCTAATATCTTTTTCAGACAATTTTGGTTAAAAATATTTCTGTCTAGCCAAAATTAAGTGTGAATTTAATTTTACACCTCTTTTTCCAAAGTTGTTGTCGTTTGAAGGCAGTTCCTATTTTTGTAACAATTCACAGTTTAAAAACTGGGCTAGTTTAGTTGTTTTCAAAATCATGCAATTTTCCCTAAAATATACAGATACCTATCTAGAATTTAGGAAATAAATAGCAATATTTATGACAATATTTGAAAATCTGCCTTGATTATTTTATTAGAATGCCTACCAACCACATATTAAATTGCTGTGGAATTTTAAACAATTTTATCAAGCGTTGTTTTTGTGTTTCTATATACAATATTTTAAATAATTGACCAATCTGTCATATTTATTCATGATTAATATACATTCTTCAAAATATGGAAAGTAGCCTACTCACATGAGTCCCTCCACTGCTAATTGGCATTGGCTGAGTTCCAAATTAAAGGAGTACAAAATCATCTGTGATTTTCACATAAAATTATTATAAAGTCAAACCAATAACAGACTTGGGGTATTCCGTGCTATTCGCGGACCACCACCAACCACTTTCTAGGTAATGATGTGTCTGTCAAAAATTTACCACAGTCACGAATAGGATGAAATATTCACTTTATTTTTGAAAACTCGAAAAGTCACGCACTTCAGAGCTGAGCTAGCCTCCTTGGTACTTCTTATAACATAATATATGATGGAGTAATTTCCAATAAATAACATTTTTACAGGTACGATCGTTAATCTCGTAGCGCTGACATCACAAATCACAACACAACATTGAGTTTATTATGTTGGTAGACAGTTGATGTAACGGCTATCGACAAAACACAGATGATTTACAGCTGATGCAACCTGACCTGCAGTCTGCAGACGATTTGTCAGTTCTGAGTTCACAGTTCAGTTGTCTAAAGTCTAAACAAAACTGTCAAGTAATCAAATGCCGGGTTTACTATCTCAAAAACTTCTGAATACGTGTACAGTAGTCATTAGATGACAATTAGTAAAGGCAACATCCTCTTCTGTGATTTTACAACAAAGGACAATGGCCAGTGAAAAGAAATTGCTTTGCTTATTTGATGTTGATGGAACTTTGACTGCGCCAAGGAAGGTAGGCCTAACCTAAACTTTTAAACCTAGTTTCAAATTTAACATACATAAATTCTGTGTAGGCCTAGGATTTGTTTTTACTGAAAAACACTTTTTTGTAATGCAAAAAAGCATGCCTAAATTATTATCCTTTATCATTTCAACAAGCTAATCTAAGGATACTGTGATCCATACATCTGCGTGCATGTCAGAATAAATGTATAATTTTGCTATTTTCGTTTGGGTATGGTAAGTTAGTAGTAAGGTTTACGTACCTAACCAAATGGGTTACCTTGGTGTCATGATTAAGTTTCAGCTTACGTTAGCATGAATTTAAACATTTACAAAATACAGCCTAACTTTACGGTTGTAGTGCAAAATAGGTGGCACCGGATTTAAAAAATTAAACACAAAAGTGTCCGATAACTTAAATCAAAGTTTACGAACCTATGCACAGGAGTTGTTTTGATTGCAGATTGGATGAGACTAAACTATATGTGAAAAAGTATGGAGGGTAAAGAGCTATTGATGTACAAAAAAACAACCAATGTTAAATTCCATGTTAAGGGGAGGGCCCATTGATTTCTTCTATAGCCTATAAAGAAAAAAATAGAATTTACTTCCTCATGGTAAAAGGGCTACAACTTGTTGTAAATCAGTTCAGAACAGCAAAACATGTAGGGTTCAACTGATTACTTCAAAAAGTTGGATAACATGACAAGGTAGCCTAAATTGTACCATCATATTAAGCCTAAGTTAGTCTCTAAAAAACCAAGGATGGCTGCCAGAGCTATTGTCTTGACGTCAGGGATTAAGCGATGTGTTTTGAGACAAGCTAAAAGAAACTATATAAGTTACCTAGAGAGTAAGTTAAATTACAAAAAGTTGGAATCAGTAAACTTACACATTAACTTAAAGGTGCGTTTACACCGGAGTTAGGAACACGTGTTTACAACAAATGTTAATAAAAACCAAGAAACACTGATTTTTGAACAGAAACCTTTTGATATTGGAAATATTTTTTTTCAACAGAAATTTTGTTTCCTACCAATTGTCAGTAAAGATCAAAGGATGTTCCAAACATAAGGAAACATTTGATTTGGAACAATGTTTCTGTACGTTTCTGTACTTCTACGCTGTTTACAACACTTCCCCGCTACCCCCGCGCCAACCCACCACCACGTGACTATCTCGAGAGGGACTGAACTTAAGTTCTTGGGAACGGTGATTAAATTGTTTCCAATAAAATCAAAAAATAGTGCACTAGCCTATCTGTTGTAAACTTTTGTTTTAGAAACAAGTGTTACAAACAACAATTTCCAAACATTTTGTTTCAAACTTTGGTGTAAACGCGGCTATAGTTGTTAACACGTGTTCCTTCCAGTGTAAACGTGGCTTAAGTTGTAATTAAATTTTGCATTTATTGGTCAGAAAGGTATATGTTAGTTTAATTCAATTCATTTAAAAAATTCAATATATTCTTCAATATTTATTTTCTCTTTACTCTCATAATAGGCTAATAAGTTTAGGCCTATACCAGCTAAAAACGATTGCAGTTTTTAACTTAGCAACAACATAACGCTTCGAAGAAACCACCATGTTCAGTGTGGCCTATATCTAAAAAAGTTCTCATAAAGTAATAATTACAGGTGATTACTCCAGGTATGCTGAAGTTCCTTACAGAAGAGGTTCAGTCAAGATGTGCCGTGGGACTGGTAGGGGGTTCTGACGAAGGAAAGATTGCTGAACAGATGGGTGGCCAACATGGTAAATATCTGTTATAGAATGTTGTAAATTTGGATCTTTTACTGTTGTACAACTACCACTATGTGTTTCAGATTGAAATATTATAATTATCTACAAATCTTGTTTATGGTTAAGGTTACAAGTAACATATTTTCAGCGCTTGCTCCAAGTAAAAAGCTTGCATTAAAAAAAAGTAATTTTTGGTTGAAAATGTTGAATTAAAAATTCGTAGAAGGAAAGTCAGTGTTCATCCAATTAACCGTGGAAGAGGTAGGTTTGCGGAATACAACCTTCTACTCGTATTTCTTCAATTGACATTGAACTTATATGAGAATGGAGTTAACCACTTTTAGTTACATCCTCAAGAAACTCTATTAGCATGTAGTTTGAGGTGTTTGTCCCAAATAGCCCCTCTTCTAAAGACTTGAGATATCAGTTCATCGACATCCTTACTGCACAGTTGTTTGTCACTGACTGGTTCGGTCAACAAGAGCCGGAAAAAAGTACAAAACGTTCTTGCGGGATTGTCAGAACTTGTAGCAAGTGCTTGCTAGCCGGGGCAAGCTTTGTCTGTGAACACACGCTTGATACAATGTAGACTTTTCCCACGCCGGTTGGACAAGTGCTTGTACCAGATTTCTTTGTGAATGCACCCTAAGTTAAGCTAGGTTAGAACAGAGATATAACCTAAAACTTCAAGAAGAAAGTTTCTATGAATGCAATATGTTGGCCTATTGAATGTTGTTGCATAGAAATTAGGTTAGGCTATATATTGTGGTGGTAGTTGCGTAGTGCAAACAGTCCAATCTGTGTTTGCTGGTATTGAAATTTGGAATTGGAATTAGTTCTTGCCTTCATATCTAAATGTTACTGGTTTGATTCTAAGTGAGGTCGATTCTGGGCCCTAGATTCTAGATCTCATTTGTCACAGACTCTAAAATAATCATGCTTTGTAACAAAAAGTCAACATTAGATAGTAAGAAGGATTTGGACTAAGTATTTCATTTCAAAAGTGTGAAAAATGTGAATGGCGTCAAAGACACACATGAATAAAAAGTTGCATCCCTTTCCAGCTTTGAAACCTAAGTTACAGTAAAATTACGCACAATTCTGAAACTGTTGAAAATTGAAACCACGTTGCATCTCTTTTTTGCTTCGCACTTAAATATTGGTAGCTTATGTGAAATTAAGTAAAAAACCAAATTGCATGAACCAGAATGATGAATACAAATTAAGAAACATGTTAATGTCTTGCGATAGCCTACATTTTTAATTTTACAAATTAAATTTAATCAAAATAAGGGGTTAAAGTTGAAATACTTTTTATGTTTCACAAATATTTTATTGTTTCAGTTGTTGACAAGTTACACTACGTCTTCTCTGAAAATGGTTTAGTGGGAAAGAAGGAGGGGGTGGAAATAGCAAGAACAGTAAGTAGGCTATTAAAAAACAAAAACTAAACTAGGCCTAAGTAAAATCTCATCTATTAGGTTTTACATTTTTATCTTCATTCTTTAAAAATTGAACGGTTTATGGAAAATATTCACATTCAGTATATAGTATATTGTGCCTTGTAGGCTACCTAACGTAGTACTGTAAACAGAGTGTCTAGTTTATTTCCATTTTAAAATTCAAGACTATTTCCAGACTTTTAAGACTAATTTCAGATTTCAAGACTAGTTTTTTTTAACAATTAGTGTGTTGATACCAAAATATATCAATTCTCGGTTCTTGATACCGATTTTTATAGTTTTACAAAATTTTCTTGGTTATAATACACTAACCCCTGTCTTTATGAAAAAACAAATGCCGCAATGAAAAATTCAAACTGATTAATTTGGGTTTAAACCCTTCTAAATACGGTAAAGGTAAATGAAGATCTAGCGACGAAAATACAATTTTATTATAACTGTGTGCCAGCCTGATATTTTCATTCAAGCCAAACAAGAGGTAATAGTGCGATCATCTGCGGTCGTGGAGACATCATGGTCGACTTCTGGGATTACTGTGAAATCCAGAATATCTTCCCCATTTACGGAAACATCATCACTACTGTTGCGAGCGTGGTCTGATCCTGAATATCAACAAAATCGCTATTGTCTTCTCCCACGGTCACAGAACATTATCAACGACTCCCGCGATCGCGGCAAAAACATTAATATCTCCCACGGCTGTGTAGACATCATCATTGTTCCCCGTGGTCACTAAAACGTGATCGTCGTCTAGCACGATCGTTGCAAAATCATTAACATCTTCCGTGGTCGCAAAAGTGTGACAGTTGTCCAGCGTGATCGCGGCAAAATCATGAATATCTCCCGCGGTCACAAAAACATGATCATATAGCGCGATCGCGGCAAAATTCTGTTAACTTCCCGCGGCCATATAGACATTATCATTGTCCACCAATGTCACGGAAACGTGATCGTCGTCTTGTGGGATCGCAGCAAAATCATGAAAATTCCTGACTTTGATATCAAAATAAAGACTAAATCACGACTTTTCAAGACCATTTTTGATACTAATTTCCAACCTTCCTGTTTTTCCCGACTACTAGACACCCTGTGTAAATCAAATAAATCTTAATCAATTTAAAACTGCTTATGCAAAGTAAAATATGAGATAAAAGTTCTTTCCTGGAGTACATTTACAAAAAGTAAATAAAAGATACCTCTAATAACACTTAAAACATATATTTACGCTTATACTGTTAACTCATAAGACGGTAAATATACATAAAAGATGGTAAGAGATGGTAGTGAAGATGGTAAGCCTATTGGGTCTGATGATGATTGGAGTGTCCAATTGAAATCGATCTCCACTTACCATCTTTTATGTATATTTACCGTCTTATGAGTTAACAGGGAGTGTTATTAGACCTATCTTTTATTTTCTTTTTGTAAATTTAATAACAGGTACAATTTATGTCTCTGTGTATTCATTACTATCTATTGTTTTAACTTGATGACGTCTATTGCAATTATAGTTTAATTAATGAGTGACAAATCTATTCTATTCTAAGGCTGATTAAGAAGTTATTTACATTTACAATTAAAAACAATACCAATAAAAGATTTGTCCCCTTTCTCTAGCAGGTAAATAAGACAATCTCATGTCATAGAGTGAAGTTTTTTTTCTTCATGGGAATGATTTACATTGTGTTGCCAATTTCAAAGTGATCAGAGCATGAAATATTCCAAAAATGAATCATAGGTTTGAAATACTAAAATTATTTCAACCAATTTAATATATGTTTCCGACATATTTGTTAACAGACAATTCTAAGTTACATGGGAGAAGAAAAACTTCAACAGTTCATCAATTTCGCTCTGAAATGTCTGTCAGAAATTACACTACCAGCAAAGAGAGGAACATTCATTGAGTTCCGAACAGGACTAATAAATGTTTGTCCAGTCGGTAGATCTTGCAGCCAACAGGAAAGAGATGAGTTTGGAGAGTATGACAATAAGCATAAGATAAGAGAACAACTGGTAGAAAAGTTCAAAAAACAATTCCCTGATATGGGGCTTAACTATGTTATTGGTGAGTTTAACCTTGCATTTCTGGTTTTAATAGTAAATTGTATTGTAAATGCTGAGATTAAATTGAAAATCGCTTTCTTCTCAAAACATTCTTGCTTTCAGCATATACTAAAAGAATTATTTTCTTCACCCATTCGGCCATAAATTCGTAATTATAGCGAAGAATTTTAAATTTTTATGTATATGTAAAGAATACTCTGCTTATCCAAGCATTCCTCATCTCAGGTCCACTGTTTGTGAAAAAAACCATTTGTAGGAACTTCATGCTGCCTTACATTATCCCATAAAATCTATAGCATAGACAACTTTTCTTGACTGATGGGGGCTCTGAAAGAACATTTCCTAAACCATCAGATAGTGATTGTAGGCTAAGATGATTTGCGTTAGGCCTCGTTTCATAAAAGAGTGTATTTGTGTGTGTGACTGAATGATAAGAAATTTAAAAAACTATATTATGTTATTTTTTATGTGTAACACTTTACAAACATTTTATATATTTTTTCATGATATTTAACTTTTATTTGTTTGGCGGTTTAGAAAGGGCCATGAGGTCCTAAATAATTTTTCCTCACTAAAGAAGCATTTTAATTTCAATTTAAAGTCTCTGGTAGGTTTACATTTGTTTAAAAGCTATCAAGTAATAGTTATTCACAGTAGTGTTGTGTACGTAACCTAGTTATTATGCATACCCTTAGAGTTACAGCCTAGTGTCCTAGGATATGAAGGTGGGACATCAAAAATGTCATAGCCAATTTCAATTTCTCAGTTGTGGTATACCATCTATGTGCCCGATAGAACTACTATGTAAACATATCCTCTTCTGTTTTGGCCATTCTCTGGACTTGCTCTTCGCCATCACTTACCCCCTCTACAGATCCTCCCTCCACTATCTGCTATCTCACACATCCTCTCTTCCTCACCCCAATCCCAATCACCTCATCTACCCACCCACTAGGTCTTTCTAAAGATCTCGATCTCCTCCCATCTATTTTAATGGTGGTCAACTCAATGTTTATAAGAATATTCTTCCATTCTACTCTCAGCACTTCTACCATCAAGATGAAACTAAATAAATTGTTTCCACATGCAAACAAAGTATTTGAAATTTTATATATTCATTATTTTCTTCTCAGGTGGACAAATTAGCATTGACGTCTTTCCTAAGGGTTGGGACAAGACTTACTGCTTGAAGTTCTTGAGTGAGTTCGATGAAATCCACTTTTTTGGAGACAAAACTTCACCAGGTGGAAATGATTATGAAATCTGGGATGATTCCAGAACAGTTGGACACACTGTTACTAGTCCAGACGACACAATGAAGCAGTTGAAAGAACTGTTTAAGATATAAAACTATTGTTGGTTTGGAATTTGGCTGACAATATGTTAAATAATTTAAAAAAGCGCTATTTTCAGATTCACCAGCAATTTTCTTAGAGAGAATAAAAAAAACAGTGACAAATAGTAAATTACTTTTAGAACATCAATAAGCAGTGGCGGACATACCGTAAGGCACACAAGGCACGTGCCTAGTGCCATAAAACATAGGGGCGCCCGGCCGCGCAGGTGGCGGGCAACGGGTGGCAGGCGCGTGGTATGAAAGCAACGTTTAATTTAAGAACATACTTTCATAATTCCTTAACAGTTTAATTTTTGTAGTAAAACTGTTAAACAATGAACAATACTTTACATTCCAGATACAAAGAACATTAATGATAATTGACTAATTGTTCACTATTTTTGTAATTATATAGTATTACAAATCCCACTAGGTTGGCCACTGTCAATAAGTTGTCTTTTTATTGGTAAACAAAATACATTTTAGTTGTGAGGACTAGTCAAGAGTCCACTAAAAGTTTATTGGAGTTATAGTAGATCCAATCCAAAAGTTACCTAGCCTATTTTAACATTATGCCTATGTAACCTATGTAGCCTATGTTGTGCACTGTCATTCTACAGTTTTATAAAGTCAAAGTCAATTAAACATATGTTGAAACAGATAAAACATGATTGTTGATTAAGTTCAATTAATTATGTTTTGTAGGATGTGATTCAGTTAAATTTACACCTACTTAGATTTTAATTTGCATTTGAATAAAGACACAAATGTTTTATAAATCCTAAATGTTTTATGTATTTTTGGAAATGTAACATACAACTATTTCCTGTATATTCTTCCAATAAAGTAAATTAAATTAAAATATGTTGATGTATTTAAACCAGTTGTACAGTTTGTTAGTTCGTTTAAAATAACATATTTTATCAGCTGATTGTCCTCTGATAAAAGGACCACATTATTCTCTTTTGCGTCCTCATTTCATTGCAAAGGTAAAGCAACTTTTTTGCTAGGTAGGCATCAAACTAAAATCATCGAGGAACGTTTCATAAGCTTTACTATCAAAACAATATGAAATAAAAAAATTGAATAGTAAAATCTAAAAATAAAAACAACACATTGCTTCTAGGAAGTAGGCCTACTCCACTCTGAAGCATTGGTAGGTGGAGAGACGTACACAGGTCTTGGTCCCTCGTCCCCTTCTGGAGTTTCTAACTCAAAGTCTACTTCATGGAAGTTGTCAAACCCTGGAATAGTGACCGGAAATTAAATTTTACTGCCCTAGATAATTTTTGAATCATCTGCCCTGCTTCACATTTGTGGCAAACCAAGAAACTAAGTTTTTGTATTGGAAAGATAATCAAATACTCTACTTACAGTATCACCTTTAAGCGATTAAAAATATATGTATAGTTCGGCACCGCTTAGAAAACGACCTCCTCCAGCATTGGTTTAGCATTAGTGCGCAGTCGTTTTCTAAGCGGCCGAGCTATAGTTATTACATTATAGTAGTAAATAATAGTGATTTGAAGTAAATGCACAATACATGTGACATGAAGAGTGCTTTTAAAATTCATTCATTTTTGAATCAACATCTAACAACACTATTTTTAAAGTTTGGACAAGGGTCCGGTCCTGAGCTATAGCAGCGTTAACAAGTCAGAGGACTTCCAGTAACATAATTTTAAGGTGTACCTATATTAAAGAATCTCTCCAAACTCAAAATTTGTATCTTAATAATTTGTTTTCAACTGTAATTATGATAAAAATAGTAGTGAGTAGGTTATACAATTTCAACAGAGATATTAAGCGTTAGCAAAAGCAATACAACTGAAATTGGCATGATGATTGATCAGTAGCCAGTAACAATAATTCAACAATGTAATGTTTTGGAATAACAACCTTTTACAGGTCAAAACTAAAATTCTTGCATCTCAATTTCAACTTGACCAGAGGGTTGCTTTGAACCCACTAATTATATCCACTGGCCTTGAGGTCTTGGAAGCAATGGGAGACTTCTGCAGACAAAACATTGGGTAAATCACTCAAACAAAAAAATTTTTTTAGTGTGGCCTTGTTTAACCCACTAAAAGTAATACTCACTGTCAGATACTGGTTCGTCTGACAAAACTGGATCATCCAATGGAGTGATGGGAGCACACTCGAAGGCGTAGTTCTGGAAAATAACCAAAATAATTCAAAACGGATGATAGTTAAACCTAAAAAGTTTTATGAAAGAGAACTAAATGAATAAGAGATCAAGAACTAAGGTAACAAATGGGAAAATATAAACTGTATTAGCAATGTGTGTCAAAACCGAATCTCAACCACCCACCTGGAAAAGTTTCAGTTTCGAGATTCGATCAGAGAGTGTGATTTGATCAATCACTTGAGAATTATTATAACTTTCAAAGGTTTTGTTGAAGTTGAAGCAATGGAGCAAATAGATCACCACTAAAACCAATGAAACCAGTAAATTATATTCTGAACTCCAACAAGTATCATACAACTAATACGACGACTTGCGTACTATCTTTAACTTTTGATACAACACATCCCACAACTATTGAGACATTGAATCCCTATGTTAAAATTGTCGCCAGTTTTTAAATCGCCATAGTTGATGTGAGCCACTGACAGATGGTGCTGGTGTAAATTACTGATTTCTGTTTAATACATGCACTAGTTTAGCAAGTCAAATTGATGGAATAACTTCTTGTTAGTTATAGCGACTTTTATGATCATCAACTATGTCAGCAACCAAAAATAAGGTAGGAAATACAATTTAGATACTAGCACATTCCGTGACTGGCTCACACAACTGTTCTTAAAAAAAAAAAATTGGCTACAGCTAGTTATATAGATGGGAT